TGGATCTCCCCGAATCCTGCCCGGCTCCCACAGATGTCCCTCCCCATAAGCAACATCAAGGTGGCCATGCCCACCCAATCTGCCATGACTACTGCAGCCACACCCATCCAGTGGCCACGCCCACCCAGTCTGCCAAGCCCACTAGCTGCGCCCGCCGAGTGAGCCACACCCACCCGGCGATACATAAGTGGGTTTTAGGTTGCAGTTTGGGCATTCAGTCTCTAAAAGGTTTGCCCTCACTGGTCTAAGTGGTACTGATACAGTGATATTGTTGGGCTAAAGGATGTCTTGTATTTCTGAACCCTGACGTTCTCTTCTCTCCTCTTCCTCAGCTGAAAGTCTCATTCAGGAGCAAGAAGGGGAAGCACTTGACAATTCCGACATCATCTGTGCTCCTTTGGGCAACATTGGACGGAAGGATCTGAACACTAGCTTTGAGGGTAGCGTAGGGCCGCCAATCGACCGTCTTCCGCCTGCTAGAGGCCTGGGAGACGACGCTCCGCTGACCAGTGCGCAGAGAACCGCCCGGTTCAGGAACAAGAGAAAAATTGAGAGAGTCCAGCTGGCGAAGGAGCTAATTAACGCCACCCGAGAAACGGGGGAGAACATCCGCGAGGCTTTATACGAGCTTGACAGCAAAGAGTCGCAGAGGCGGGTTGACGATCGCAAAGTTGCCGTGTGGTGCGCCAAGCACATTGCGAAAAGCATCCGGGTCTCCAGCCAAACCATGGCCGCCGCCATGCGCGATTCGGATGCTGCCTTCCAGAGGTGCATGGAGAGCTACACGGTGGCCCTGGAGAGGCAGACAACTCTGTTGGAGAACATTGCGGATTCGCTAAACGCTCGCGTGTCGGCTCCCCAGCCCTCCCTCCCCACTTCCATTCCCGCCGATGGGACACGTGAGACCTCCATGTGCACGAGTCCTATACCAGCACCTTCGCCCCCCATCCCCATGGAGTCAGAGAAGACTCCCCCCTCCCTGAGAAGCCAGCCTGGAAACGAGGAAGAGTCTCCTGGGGGGGCAGACTCCAATAGCAGTAGCCGATAATAGTCTGAAGCAACTTCCCCAATCTGGTGCTCCCTCCCCCATGGTGTTGGGACCACAACTCCCAGAATTCTCAGCCGGAGGGCACCATGCTGAAGAAGGTTGGTCTTCACAGAACACTTGAGTTGCTGCATTGTTCCTCTTGTCAACACAACAGATCACCAAGCCTTCTCGAACGTTGACAAGGTTACCTCAGTACTTCCATTTACTCCTATACAATCGTTCAAGGTTTCTTCTGTTACGTTACTTGAGAAAAAAAAACGGTGCTATTTTCTGCACCTTATTCTTGTTTACAAAGCTCTGTTAAACCTGCTTTTTTTTTCTAGCACTGTATACAATGCCCAATATTTACTAGACGGCACAGCCAGCTTATGCCATAATAAATTTGTTAGTTTTTAAGATGCCACAAGGCTGCTTGTTGTTTTTGCTGCCAGAGACTCACCCACTACACACAGTCCTTGACTTACAGTCAGTTGCTTAGCAACCGTTTGAAGTTCTGACAGAGCCCCCAAAAGGTACTTAACAACCCGGTTCCACAAGTTCTGACAGCTGGCCCCATGTGACCGCATTTCAGGCACTCAACAACTGGCCCTCATTTGCAGCATGTGGCAGTCACTTGACAACAATTTGTAGTGTTTGTACTGAAAATAGTTCTTCCGGTTTTGGGCAAAGACATCTCATAGTGAACAATGGGGTTCGCTTAACTAACATGGCATTTGTTTACTGACCGTGGGGCTTCACTTAACAACCGCCATAAAAGTAGTAAAATGGGGTCAATCACATATTGTCCCACTTTAAGTCCATCAGTTTAAGTCAGCGGTTCTCAACCTGTGGGTTGCGACCCCATTTGGGGGTCGAACGACTATTTCATGGTCGCCAAACAATGCAGTCCGCCATTTTTTCCCCTTTTCCTTAGCTATGCTACTCCCTTTTATTCTATTGGCTTTTGAAAGCCAATACAATAGACTCTCTTGAATAGAGTCTAATTCTATTGGCTTTCAAAAGCCAATAGGAATTGTCCAGGCTGTCTCTGCCCTGCTGAGCCCACCAAAAGTCCCATTCTGCAAACGGTGCTGCAAGTTGTCTGCAGCAAAGGCGAGCTGTCTGGAAGCTTCCACCCCTCCCTGCTGAGCAACTACTAAAAATGTAAGTAAAAGAGGGACGGGTGGGAGGTGGGAGGCCAGCGGGTGTAGGGAGAGTGGCTGGCACACGGGCCTGGCGGGTGCCTCGCCTCCCTTGGGCTGGGCCAGCTGGTGACCCAGCCGGTGGTTGGCCTGCGCCGTCACTGCCACTTGCCAGCTACGCCTCAACCGGCACAGGGGGCGGCACCACGCATGCACAGCGCTCCGGGGCAGGGAGTCCTCGACTTATGACCGGTTGGGTAGTCCTCGACTTACGATTAGTTGCGTAGTCCTCGACTTACGACCGGTTGGGGTCACGGCATTAAAAAGGTAGAGAACCACTGCTTTAAGTCCATCACAACTTACGTCTATAATGGGTAGGCTCCATTAGGATGAGAAGTCAAGAAATACCTGTACGCTGTTTTAAATTTTGAAGTGAGTGAAAAATACATTTCCTGCTTCGACAAACGCAGTTTTACACAAACGGCTTCTCCCCCAAAGTGCACACAGGTAGATCCCCGATTTATGACCACAATTGAGCCCCAAATTTCTGTTAAGTGAAACATTCGTAAAAGTGAGTTGTCCCACCACTGCAGTTGATAACCCAGCTATTAAGTGAATCTGGGTTCCCCATTAACTTTGCTTGTCAGAAGGTCGCAAAAGGGGGTCACGTGACCTTGGGACACAGCAACGGTCCTAAGTAGGAACCAGTTGCCAAGCAACTGAATTTTGATCACATGATCCTGGGGATGCTTCAAAGGTCGTAACTGAAAAATGATCGTGTCACTTTTTTCAGTGCTGCTGTAACTTTGAACGGTCACTAAATGAACTGTTATAAGTTAAGGACTACCTGTAATTCCAACGCTGTGTCATTCTAGAGATCAGCATTATTCACTCTTCATGTACAAAGAGTCTTTTATCGGCTAGCATTTTTTCTGGAGATTGCTAGAAATGCCCTAACCCTGAGGTCTTCAAACTTGGCCCTTTTATGACTTGTGGACTTCAACTCCCAGAATTTCTCAGCCAGGCACACTGGCTGAGGAATTCGGGGAGTTGAAGTCCACAAGTCTTAAAAGGCCAAGTTTGAAGACCCCTGCCCTAACCAGTCTTGAGAAGATTTAGCATTATCAAAACAGCTAGCCTCAATTGATTGCTTTTTTTAAAAAAAAATCCTTTTTTCTGGCCCAGGAGGGTCTATTAATCCTGCCCCTTCCTAAGTGCAATGCCACAGTGGATGTTTAAAAGTGTTGACCATCTGACTTGCTGCTGCGTAAAGGCAATTTCCATGAAAGACATTTCCCAAACACCAATTTTTTTAAATGAAGGCATCAACAATCCATTTGAGTAAATTGGTAGGTGTCACTGCTCTTGTCCTGTTATGCTCCTCTATACTTTTGCTGTTGGAAAAGAATTGATTTACCAGTCTAACTGGGCATTTATTTCTTCCTCTCCCAGGGCTGAATGTAGTTTTTTTTTTTTCTGAAATCAGAATAGGCATGTAAGTCTTGTCACCAATTTGGGTCATTGCAAAATACAGAGAATTATTCCTATAAGTTAAAAGCTTTGGTTCTGTCCACTCCGCCTACTGCACACTCCAAGCTTGAGTCAGGCTTTCAGTCGACTGCGTACAATTAACCAAGTCAGTTATTTTAAAATTAAATTGGATCAAGTCAGATATTAAAAATTGAATTGGACCAAATCAGGTAATATAAAAGTGACCTCAACTAAATTTGTTTTCAAATTAAGATACTGTCCGTTTCATTCACAGAATGACTGGACAGTTAGTTTACAGCTAAAAATATAAAACACTATATAAAAATACAATATATCGGGTATATGATGTTTATATATGTATATATCGTACTTTCCAGCGTATAAGACGACTTTTGAAAGCGTTGAAATTGGCACCGAAGTCAGGGGTCTTATACACCGGAAATAACGGTAGTTTCCGGCGTATAAGACGACTTTCTAGGCATGCAACTTGGCGCCAAAGTCGGGGGTTGTCTTATATGCCGGAAAATACGGTACATAAATCGGGTGTTATAAATTGATTTGGCGAAATCAGATGCAGATAGTCCTCAACTTACAACAGTTCATTTAGTGACCGTTCAAAGTCATGTCACTGAAAAAAGTGACTTACCGACCATTTTTCACACTTAACAACCATTGCAGCATCATGATCAAAATTCAGAGCTGATAACTGACTCATGATGTTTGCCATGTTTCAGAGTCATATGATCCCCTTTTGTGACCTGACGAGCAAAGTCAATGGAAAAACCAGATTCACTTAATTGTGTTACTAATTTAACAACTGCAGTGATTCACTGTGGCAAGAAAGGTCATAAAATGGAGCAAAACTTAACAAATGTCTCACTTAGCAACAGAAATTTTGGGCTCAAGCGTGATTGCAAGTCGAGGACTACCTGTATTATACATTGATCAGATAAGATGTTTTTAACAAAAGGGGACTAAATCGGATATTACGAGTTGAATTGGGCCAAACCAGGTATTGCCCCATCGGAGGAAGCCTTCACGCACCGGTGCTTAGGCTGCAGAAGAATCCTGTTTCTGGCGCCCGCCCGCGTTAAAGAACTCCGCATCCTCCGCCTTTCCTCAATCGGGCGCTTCAAGCTAGCTTAGACAGACGGGCTGGCGGTGGGCGGAGTCTGTCACTGCTGCCCTTGATGGATCGAAGCCGCCGGGCGCTCTGTGAGGGCATTTGCCCTACCCCCTCCGCCTTTCCAGGCCTTTGGCTCGGCGTCAGTCACGTGACGGGAAGCGGAAAACCACAGGGAAACCCGTCGGCAAGGAGAGTCCGGGTGACGCGCCTCGCAGTTCCTTCCCATTCACTGCCCTTCCTTTCATCCGGAGCCTGACCCGGATCTTTTCCTGTTCAAGGTGCTCTGCGAGTCTTCCCCCCCGCCCCCTCCGAAGCAGCCCTCGGAGCTCTGGGATGGGGGGGAGGCTTCCTCCCGGCTGATCTTCGCGCCGAGGGATTGCAGCCTTCATGCCTAGTATAGAGAGGGTTGCGGTGGGAAGGGAAGCAAGGCGTCTTGGCGTCTTCGTCCCCGGCTGCCCGCCCCGCTGAGCTGGACGGGGGTGCGGTGCGTCTTGTGCACGGACACGAGCTTTCCAAGGCTTTGAGCCTGGCGAGTTGGAAGCTCCGTGGAAGGAAGCGGGAGAACAAATTTCACCGGCATCAGCGGATCTTCCGAGCGGGAAGCGACCGGGTGGCTAAACGGGTGAGAGTAAAATACATACCTCTTTCTGAAGCCATGATCTCTCTAAACGGGTGAGAGTAACACAAACACACACACACACACCTCTTTCTGAAACCAGCATCTCTCTCCCCCCCCCTCTCACACACACACGCACCTCTTTCTGAAGTCAGTATCTCTAAACGGTGAGAGTAACACACACACACACACCTCTTTCTGAAACCAGCATATCTCTCTCTCTCACACACACACACACACACAGACCTCTTTCTGAAGCCAGTATCTCTCTCACACACACACCTTTTTCTGAAGCCAGCATCTCTTTCTCTCTCTCTCCCTCTCTCTCTCTCTCTCTCTCTCTCTCTCACACAAACACACACACACACACACCCCTACCTCTCTTTCTGAAGCCAGCATCTGGATCCCCCTTCCCTCCCCCTTTCTACAGGTCCTGCCTTTGCCTATTATTTTTGCAGCTCTGCTTGCTTGTCCAGGATGGCAGGGAGGTGTTCACCACATTTTACATCTGTTTGGGTTCTCACGTGATGCTGCATTTGGCTGGGATGTGCAGTTTTGGGCTGAGTGTGTCATGCTGCCTTAAGCCATTTGGATAGTACAGAAAATCAGTTTTCATAAGCTGGGGGTTAATGTGTTGTATGAACCCAGCCATGTGCCAGACTTCCCCAAGTGGTGTCTTCCAAATGACAGTAGTGTAAGAGCTATCATCCAATAGGATGCCAGAGCTCGGGTAAGGCTGATGCTTACAATGCTCTAATATAGGTAGTCCTCGACTTAGAACAATTCATTTAGTGACCGTTCGAAGTTACAGCATCACTTAAAGTGACTTATGACCATTTTTCACACTTAGGACCGTTGCAGCATCCCCATGGTCATGTGATCAAAATTCAGATAGTTGGCAACTGACTCATATTTATGATCTTTGCAGTGTCTTGAGATCATGTGATCACCTTTTATGACTTTCTGATAAGCAAAGTCAATGGGGAGGCCAGATTCACTTAATAACCATGCTACTAATTTAACAACTGCAGCGATTCACTTAATAACTGTGGCAAAAAAGGTCGTAAAGTGGGACAAAACTCAAATGTCTCACTTAGCAACATAAATTTTGGTTTCAATTGTGATCATAAGTTGAGGACCTTATTGATATGTGTACCACCACATCATCATCAAAAGCTTTTGAGGATCACCACAGCAATCAAGGGTCACTAGTGAGGTGGATACAGTACAAATACTATGATACGTATTACTCTCCTGAATGGTTCAATAGAAACCCAAAAGTCAACAAAGATGACTTTAAACACGACTTTTTACAATTTAAAAAGGCTTGAGATTTCATGAAGGCAACAACTCTCTCTGTTTGTTAGTGTTATTGCCTGAAGCCATGCAAGATTCAGAGTGAGACAGTCCGAATCATGTGAAATGTAATGATTCTTGAATTTGGTGTCATTTTCTAGTAATTATTTTTATAATCAATGCCTAATGGAAATTCCCTCCAGTGTCCACATGGATGATCAGGGGTTCCTGGGTTACAGGTTGGAAATACGGTAATCTAGTGTGTTCAAAGTTGAGAGAACTAGAAGCTGATGGAGTGCTGCTTGGGAAGAAGGTAATCTCTTGACCATTCCAGTTTAGGAAAAGATCAAACAGCTGGATGTGGAAAAAAACCAAACGTTTAAGGGTCATTAGTGCACCATTTCCTTAACTTTCCTCTTGTTCCTTACATATCAAAATGAACCTTTTTGTGTTATTTTGGGCATTTGTTCTAAGTCTTAGCTCAGTGATGGCGAACCTTTTAGAGACCGAGTGCCCAAACAGCAACCCAAAACCCACTTATTTATCGCTGGGTGCCAGGTGGACATGGCTGTGGTGGTCATGGCAGACTGGATGGGTGTGGCCAAGGTGGGCGTGATCACCTCAATGTTGCTCATGGGGAGGGACGCCTGTGGGTGCCGGGCAGGGTTGGGGGAGATCCAGAGGGTCTGTGGCAGGTGGGGCGGTGGGCAGGAGGCTCATCCTGCGGGGAGAGGTGAGGCGAGGCAGGGCGGGAGTGCCATTGTCACAGGGCAAGGTGAGGCAGGGGCCAGGGCGGCTGCTGCCTGACACCATCGGCCCCTGCACACAGAGGCCAACGAGCGCATGAGTGCTGGGATGCATCCAGCCACGTGGGACCTTGGTGAGTTAGCAGGCGGCTGGTTGAAGAGGGACGGTTGCTATCTCCGGGGCATGGCGCGTGTGCCCACAGAGAGGGCTCTGAGTGCCGCCTCTGGCACCCATGCCATAGGTTCACCACCACTGTCTTAGCTCATTTTGAGCCTTAGTTTTCTCTGTCCTTGCAGTTTTGGGCTATTTGCTGATAATTCTGCTCTGGTTACAAGCTGATCTATCCATTTTTTTATACTTGTCCTTTTTGTCCCTCAGCTAATCAGAACTTTTTGTACAACGATGATTTTTAAATCTTGATTTTTTTTAATCAGTCATGCATTAGGTTAAGCTATGAAGCATGGCTTGTAAAAAAAAAAAAAGGGTTGGATTCATTGCTCAAGCCAAAACACATAAATTTGATCCTGCTGCAGAACTGACCTGCTGCTTCAGTAGTTTTCTACATTATGAACTTTTCATCTTATATATTTTTTAAATGGTCATAACTCATCTTTTCATTCTGATGCTCTTCTCTTACTCATTTCTGTCCATATTCATTCATTCATCATAACATTTTCCTTTCCTTTATTTTATTTATTAAATTTGCTTGCCACCCATCTTGCTTCAAAGCAACTCTGGGTGGGTTACGGCATAAAAAAGACATTAAAATCATTAATAATATTCCTAACCCAATAAAATAACAATACCATCAAAATAAAATTTCTATCTATCTGTCTATCATCTTTATCATATCTGTCTGTCTATCTATATCTACATCTATCTATCTATCTATCTCCATATCTATATATCTATAAATCCATATAATAGAAATAAAATAGTCCGAGCACCAGGATAATATTAAAACAAAAGCTGCTTAATACAAAAGCTAAAGCTAAGCTTTTGTCGGCCAACACTGCCGACATCATCAGAGCATAATACAAGATTACTGGGAGTCCTTTTATGCTCTGATGATGTCAGCAGTGTTGGCCAACGGAAGTTTAGCTTTAGCTTTTGTATTAAACAGTTTTTGTTTTAATATTATCCTGGTGCTTGGACTATTTTATTTCTATTATATGGATTTACCCAGGATTCACATTTTTGGTATAATTAGGGAGTATATATATATGTGTATATATGTATGTATGTGTGTGTGTGTATATATATATATATTCAAAATTTTGTGGCTGACAAAGAGTTAGTGGGAGACTAGTATAGCTATTTCAAGCTCTTTAGCTCTCATCAGCTAGTCATACCCCTTTAGCTGATGTGACGTCTGTCTGCAAAACATGCTCTTAGATTGGAGCGAAACGCAGAACAGACTGATTTATATTTGGTAGACCGGGTATGTATGTATGTATGTATGTATGTATGTATGTATGTATATCCTATCTGTCCTATCCATCCATCCATCTTCTTAACCACCCACCTCTCTCACATGGGTGGTGAATCATAGTCACAGGATGGGGAAGAGGGGAGCTGGATGCACGGGGGAGAGGGATTAGCTGTTAATTAATCAACCATCCCCAGTTTGGTGCTCCCCCATTGGGTCCTGAAGCCATCTGACAGAACCTGCAGGCTCCTGCAGAAGAGTGGGAGCCAATCTCGCCTCGGGAGGCAATATGTTCCAGAGGGCAGGAGCCCCAGCAGAGAAGGGTCTTCTGGATCCCACCAGCTGAAATTCCTTAACTGATTTGATTCACAGTATGCCCCCTCTGACAGCCCAGGTGTGGAGGGCCAGTCCCATCAGGGTGAGACAGTTCCTCAAGTAACCTGGTTCCCTTTCAGATGTGTTTGACATCTCTAGCTAACTGAGGTAAACAAGGCATCCGGAGCATACCAGATTGGGAAAGTGGTATTCATCATTGATGCTGCAAACTTAAACCAGCAGGAATGTGAATTTTTGGTAGGTGCTATGATGGAAAAAAGATGGGTGAAGGGGGAATGAGTGCAGATAGGACTCTGCAGGCATGAGGAAGAGCAAGTGATAAATATAACTCAAGTAGTCCTCGATTTACAATCGTTTGATATGACGACCCTGAAAAAAGTGATTTATGAGCGGTTCTCAAAGTTACTGTTATACCACCCTTGTGGTCACATGATTCAAATTTGGCTGCTTGACAACTGACTTGTCTTTACCACTGGTTGTAACGTCCTGCAATTTTTGGCAATTTTCAATCTTCCTAACTAGCTTCCAACAAGCAAAGTCAATGGGGGAAGCTGGAATTCACTTCGTGACCATGTGATTCATTTAATGACCATATGACTGGCTTAACAACTATGGTGATTCACTTAACGATCGTACAATCAGGTCTGGTCACATTCTGACCCCTTAGCAACTGCATAACTTAGCAAAATAAATTCCGGTCCCAACTGGAATTCTAAGTCGAGGAATACTTTCTTATAAATGCGAAACAAATTTTCCTAAACTCAGGAACTCTGAAATCCAACCCTGAAGATGAGAGTAGCAAAGCTCTTCTGTATTTTTGCCAGAGATGCTGAGTAGACAAAGGTGAAACATTTTACCTGAGTTTGGATGGCAAATGATGAGAACATGACGATTGTATCAGATATTCTCTGATTCCAAAAAAGTGTTGAACTTTCCAAGGCTAGTCTCGAATTTCTTTGCAGTCATCTGGTCTTTAGCCCTCTCTCTGAGAGAGCTGCCATTCTGTCAGAACTAAGCCTTCCATCTCCCCCACCATTCTGTCAGAACCGATGAAGCTTCTTGAATGAGAAGCTAAATGTCTTTGAGGGAAAACAAAGGAAGAAATTTCCAGTTGCCTTTTGAAAAAGGGACCTTTGAGACAACCATGACCGAGAATCTCCATAGACATTTTACCAAGACTAGATATGAAAGTGATGATACAGCCAGACCAAAATTGAAAACCAATTCTTCCCCATTGCCTAAATTGCAAGGAGGAAAAGACCCCAAGAAGGGATCATAAAATCAGAGTTGGAAGCGGCCATTTGGGTTATCAAATCCCACCACCATGCTTAGTGCAGGAATCTAAATTAAACCATCTCTCAGACATGGCTATCTCGTTTCCACACGCACACTCTCTTTGGATAAATGAAGAGGAAGACTTTAAAAGGAGGTAGAAGGGTAAAAAGAAGAGTTTTCTAACATTTCTCTGGAATCCACTTTCCTGTAATTTAAATCCATTATTCTATATCTTGCATACTGGATCAAAAGAGAAAACCACTTTCATGAAACGTCCTTTTGGGTATTTGAAAATGGCTAGCATATTTCTCCCTCAAAAATCTTTTGTCAAGGCTAAATGTACCCAACTTCTTTAATCATGCTTTGTTTCTCACTTTTTGACCACTTTCGTTGCCTTTCTGTAAGTCATCTTCAATTTCTTTGAATCTTTCTTAAACCTGGCATCTAGAATCGGAGGCAACACTCAAGTTATGATCTGACCAAAGCAGAATGAAGCGAAACATTTACTTCAGACAAGAAAATGTTGAAGATTGTAGATGAAAGCTTTGGATAATGAGCACATGGCACTTTATGTAGATTTTCAACCTCAGTCAAGAAAAGACAAGAAAAGAGTCAAGAATATCAGTGAAGGATTGATTATGTGCCATCAAGTCATTTCCATTCTTACTGCATAGAGAAATAAAATGAAAAAGGACTGTGATTGATAATTCGCACTTAAATTTGGACTACTCAGGTCATCATGGAAAAAATATAGCAGGTTAAAAAAGTACAACAATTTTATACAAAGTTTGTAGAGTCCTTAGTGCTCTCTGAGCTTGGTTGCTTGCATGAATATGTTTCATTGCCCAACTAGATAACATCCGTGTAAATGTGTTCATTAGAAACTCGGGCACACAAAGTTTGCATGGAGTGGAAGATGCGTTCCCTGAATTTGGAAGAAAAACACACTTTTATCTTTGATTACACAGTTTATTGCTATAGATTAGCCTGGACAGCCACTTGTCTGAAATGATATATGGTCTCCTGCTTGAGCAGGGAGCTGGACTAGAAGACCTCCAAGGTCCCTTCCACCTGCTATTATTCTACTCTACTCTACTCTACTCTACTCTACTCTACTCTACTCTACTCTACTCTACTCTACTCTACTCTACTCTACTCTACTCTACTCTGTTCTATTCCTATCCTATCCTACCCTATTCTATTCTATTCTGAATTATCAATGGAGACAGGTGGAGATGGTAGCCATTGGTCCCTGCAATCACAATGGCCAAGCCCAATTTGATGGCACCTACCTGAGTAACTAAAAACATGACCCTAATCCTCATCCTATTTGATAGAAACTTGAATCCAGAACTGGAGTAGATTTACCCAATGTGGGTGCCTTCCAGATAGCTGACTTCAACTTCTACTATTGTTAGTAAGGGTCACACTGTATAAGAAATTCTTGGAAGTGTGGTCCATGCATCTTAGGATGCCCAGGTTAAAGAAGGCTCCTCTGGGTTTTCACGAGCTCTTCCTCTATGATCATCTGTAATTATCACTGTACGGTTGTTGGCAGGTTAGTAGATGTTGTGAACTGACTTACATACCTGGATTCAGTCTTTAGATATCTCAATCCCTGGAATGGCACCTACTGGCCAGAATACCCATTATTGAGTTGCCATGGGATGGGATACACAAATTCTGCAAATTCTGACAAATCTTTATGTTAAAAACGGGTGCTGTTTCTGTTTCAAGGACGTCAGGCAACTTCTGAAGATGCGGCTTTGTGCATTTTGTGAAGGCGGAAACACGAACGTCTGACCCCAAATCCATGAAACTGATTCTGGGTGGATATGCAAGAGAATCCCAGGAAAATGTCTTCGTTGGGTAAGGATTTTCATTCTCCTTTTATGGATTTGAAGGGTATTGTTTCTGTTATTTTGTAGGCCCACACCGATCAAGGGACATCCCTTCTTGGAATACAGGTGGTCCTTAACTTATAACCATTTGTTTAGTTACAACAGCACTGAAAAAAGTGTCTTATGACCATTTTTCAAATTTACGATTATTGCAGCATCCCCATGGTCACATGATCAAAATTCAGACACTTGAAAACTAGCGTGTACAGTGAGTATAATTTTAATGGTAGGTTTATTTTAACAGTGAGAGACAGAATAACAACAACAAAAATCCCAAAAAACGCATTTCAAAAAAGTTATAAATTGATTTGCATTTTAATGAGTGAAGTAGGTATTTGACCCCTTCACAAAACACGATTTAGTACTTGGGGGTAAAACTCTTGTTGGCAATCATAGATGTTTCTTGTAGTTGGCCACCAGGTTTGCACACATCTCAGGAGGGATTTTGTCCCACTCCTCTTTGCAGATCCTCTCCAAGTCATTAAGGTTTTGAGGCGGACACTTGGCAGCTCAAAACTTCATTTCCCTCCGCAGATTTTCTATGCAATTAAGGTCTGGAGACTGGCTAGGCCAGGACCTTAATGTGCTTCTTGAGCCACTCCTTTGTTGCCTTGGCTGCGTGTTTTGGATCATTGCCATGCTGGAATACCCATCCACGACCCATTTTCAATGCCCTGGCTGAAGGAAGGAGGTTCTCACCTAAGATTTGACGCAGCGAAGTTGTCCTGTCCCCTTAGCAGAAAAACACCCCCAAAGCATAATGTATCCATCTCCATGTTTGACGGTGGGGATTGTGTTCTGGGGGCATAGGCAGCATTCCTCCTCCTCCAGCTATGGCGAGTTGAGTTGATGCCAAACAGCTCAATTTTGGTCTCAGCTGACCACAACACCTGAATCATCCTCTGAATCAGTGGTTCTCAACCTGTGGGTCGGGACCCCACTTGGGGTCGAACGACCATTTCACGGGGGTCGCCAAACAAGGCTGTCCGCCATTTTTTTCCCTTTTTCTTTGGCCACGCCCCTGGCACCCAGTGATGTATAAGTGGTTGGGGGTCACCACAACATGGGGAACTGTATTATGGGGTCGCCAAACAAGGCTGTCCGCCATTTTTTTCCCTTTTTCTTTGGCCACGCCCCTGGCACCCAGTGATGTAGTGGTTGGGGGTCACCACAACATGGGGAACTGTATTATGGGGTCGCGGCATTAGAAAGGTTGAGAACCACTGCTCTGAATCATTCAGATGTTCATTGGCAAACTTCAGACGGGCTTTCTTGAGCAGGGGGACCTTGCGGGCGCTGCAGGATTTCAGTTCTTCAGGGCATAGTGCGTTAGCAATTGTTTTCTTGGTGACTGTGGTCCCAGCTGCCTTGAGATCATTGACAAGATCCTCCCGTGTAATTCTGGGCTGATTCCTCACCGTTCTCATGATCACTGAAACTCCACGAGGTGAGATCTTACATGGAGCCCCAGACCGAGGGAGATTGACAGTTATGTTGTGTTTCTTCCATTTGCGAATAATCGTACCAGCTGTGGTCACCTTCTCACCCAGATGCTTGACAATGGTCTTGTAGCCCGTTCCAGCTTTGTGTAGGTCTACAATCCTGTCCCTGACATCCTTGGACAGCTCTTTGGTCTTGGCCATGGTGGAGAGTTTGGAATCTGATTGATTGATTGCTTCTGTGGACAGGTGTCTTTTATACAGGTAACAAGCTGAGATTAGGAGCACTCCCTTTAAGAGAGTTCTCCTAATCTCGGTTACCTGTATAAAAGACACCTGGGAGCCAGAAATCTTGCTGATTGACAGGGGATCAAATACTTATTTCACTCATTAAAATGCAAATCAATGTATAACTTTTTTGAAATGAGTTTTTCTGGATTTTGTTGTTGTTGTTCTGTCTCTCACTGCTAAAATAAACCTGCCATTAAAATTATAGGCTGATCATTTCTTTGTCAGTGGGCAAACGTACAAAATCAGCAGGGGATCAAATAATTTTTTCCCTCACTGAATATATGATGGTTGCAGTGTCCTGGGGTCAACTGATGCCTTTTTATGACCTTCTGACATGCAAACTCAATAGGGAAGCCAGATTCGCTTAACAACTATGTTACTAACTTAACAACTGCAGTGACTCACTTAACAACTGAGGTACACTCACTTAACTGTCTCACTTATCAACAGAAATGTTAGGCTAAATTTGGTTGTAAGTCAAAGACTATTTGTACTTTGCAAAGTTGACATCAATCTTGAAGGCCTGAAAATACATTTGCCATGCCTCCAATGCTTCTACAAGCCAAGTTGCCTCTTCTCTGACCGTTGTCTAGAGCAGCGGTTCTTAACCTGGGCAATATCGCCCCTGAGGGAGCGATTTCGTTTTTCAGGGGGACGATGGAAGAAAAAGGGGCGATGTGGGGGCAAAAGAATGAAAAGGGGGCGATATGGGGGCGATGGAGAGAGAAGTTTTGGGGACACTTTTGAGACTTTCATACAATGAATCGCTGTTATCTGTCGTACAAAAATATCAGATCGCTTGCTATTAGTGGATTGAATTGTGTTTTCAAATGTTCCTCCAGCTAGCTTCAGTACAGAATGCCATACATATGTGAATACGCATTGCTTATCTTCATGCGCATTGCGCAGCAGCCTCTACCCTTTTTATATTTCTTTTTGCGTCTTAAATTTCACTTGTAATTCAATCATTAAATGTTACTGTTTTTCTTTTCCGACATTTCACTTTTTTGCAATTGAATTTTGTTTTCAGTGCTCATTACACTTAAGTGTCTTGAATAAATAAGATAATAATGAAATACATGTATCACGAAGTTTGGGAATAAAGTGACGGGTGGCACCAAAACTTTTCACACAGTTAAGATATGGGAAAAAGACTGGAAATAAATTATTTGCATCGGTATGTCCTGATGACAATTTTAAAGAAAACAAAACAAGTGTTTGCATAAATTGAAGAATTATTTCCTATGTTGTGATTGAGAGGTTATGTTAGGGGAGGGGGCGATGACAACTTCCTCATTGGCTCAAGGGGGCGATTCGTTCAAAAAGGTTAAGAACCACTGGTTTAGAGTGCGACTCTTCTTCCTGCCTCCCAGATGGGGACATCTGCAACTCTTTTATTGGCCTCACAGGCTTTCCTTGCGTTAAGATGTTATTTGTAAATGGTAGATGTGAGCAATATCATATTACTATATCCCTCCACCAACATAAGCGTCAGTAAGGTCTTTTTTTTTTTCAATAACTTTTCCCTCTCTTAATTAGAATTCCCTAACGTGACAATAAAGTTAGAAGACAAAGAAGACATCTCGTGGCTTCCAAATAACCAGGTGGCAGAAGGAAGCCGCAGTTTCTCAGCTGATAATTCAGGTACAGAAAGAGTATCCAATGCTTTTTAAGGTCCGCAGAATGGAGCTAGGCAAATTAAGGAATTAAATACCCTTAAATGAAGTGTAGTGGAGGACTGAACCATGAGCTAGGTTGCATACATCTTATATTTATTACCTTAGCCCTGGCAACCTACCATATTCCAGCTTCAGTGCTCTTCTCCGATATTTGCGATAAGTATGTAATATTAGCAATTTTACTTCTAGAATGGTTATTATAAATTTAACTGAGCCAAGAACACTCCCACCAACACTGACAGGGCAAACTACTTATATATAAAGAGAAAGCAAACCCCACTCCCTTCCAGCACTGATGTTGTTACCTGATTGGGTAATGAAACGTTCATAAGAAAACAATGAAGCACAGGGAGCACCAAGAACCTCACAGTTCAACTTTGAGCTACAAATAATTCTCTTGTATTTGTGCAATGCATCTGTTTGTTTTCTTGCTATGTAGGATTTCCTGTTCCCAAGTCTGAAGTGATCCATGGGGGAGATCCATGGATTCCAGAGCCTATTTCACAAGAAAAGGAAATCCAAGTAGATTATGGTTCCGGTAAGATTAACTATTGAGGGAATTATTGTGGTTAGTTTAGAGTTCCCACGACAGGAGTTCCTTAATTGGTGCACCACTGAAAAGACCAGGTTATGGAGAAAGTCTCTCCAAATGGTTATTAAGAGCTGACATTAACCTGATGGGACATAATCAATTAGTCAATTAATCTACGTGTCAACACTGCTAACATCGGATGTTTTTGCATTGACAACAGATAGAAATGTAGCCATCTTTTACCTTTTGCTTTTAGAGTTAGATGATGCTGGGAGGGGGGATGTGAACGACAGTCCAGCTAGACATAACAATACTAAATCTAGCATGAGAAACAAGGTTATTGTAACCAGAGCTGATAAGGAATTGGCAGGCTGGAGAACTGGAGAGGAAACCCGTGCTTCAAGCTAATTGGGGAATGTGATTTTTTTTTTTTTGTAAAAAAAATTATTTTCAATTTTACAATACATAACAATCTTACAAATACCGTATATGCCGGCGTATAAGACGACTTCCGGAAGCGCTAAACTCAGCGCCAAAGACGGGGGTCGTCTTATATGCCGAGTCGTCTTATACGCCGGAAATACTGGTAGTTTCCAGCGTATAAGACGACATCCTAGGAATGTGGCTCGGCAACAAAGACGGGGGTCGTCTTATACGCCGGGTCGCCTAATACGCCGGCATATACGGTACTTCAGATAAAAAATAAAACAAATTGATACACACCACATTCGGTCTTGCCCGCCCATTTCCCCCGAAATCGCATCCCACCTCAAACCAACTTACTTCTTTCCCTCTTTTTCTTCACTCACCCCCTCTCCTCCTTCACCTCCACCTTCCTACTTACTTCTCACCTTCTTCTTCTCCCTCTTGATGCGGTCCACGGGAAATGCCCGAGCAGTTCCTCTCTCAAAATTAAAACATTAATGTTATATACAATAAGACTATTTCTACTTTATCTGAACTACTTAAACTTCAACCCATCCAGGGAATGTGATTTATGACTGTTAATTGGAAGAGGGAATTGTGCTTTGACACTATGTGCTCAGGGGAGGGGAATTCAGTTTTTGGCTTCGATTATGCAGTGCCGATATTATGCTACTCAAAATAAAAATTCTTTAAGGTAAACAATGCCTCAAAGTTCTTTGAAGAGTTTCATCTGTCGGAACCATGACACTAGTTTCCCACATTAGAAATTCTCTAATTCTGCAACTACTACACTGTAGCATTGATCTAGCATTTGGGAAACCCAAGTTCAGTTTTTATCGTGATTGTATTTTGAAGTATTTTTAAGACAAAATTACTCTTTCTTCCCTCCATATATGCCTTTAATGTTGTGCTTGGCAAAATGTTCCCATTCTGAAATCACTGTGTATTTTTGGTCTGTGTATGGGGGGTGGAGTGGGGGGGAACTATCATTCACAGTCTGGCTCTAAGGCAGCCTATTGTCCTCCAGCATTGTTGGAATTGCAGTTCCCAGCATTCCAAGGCACCAGATACCTGGAAAGTGCCAGTTTGGGAACAGTTGTTCTGAATTATTGCATAAAGTTCTGGGATTCGCCCAGAAAATCTGTTGCCAGTTATCGAAATAGCATTTCTTTCCTATCTCACTTCTTCTGATCAGAGCTTCCAGATGTAATAATAAAGCTGGAACAGGAAGAGATCCCGTATGTTCCCTGCCCCCAGGTTTCAGAAACAAGCGTGACATTCAAAACAGTCCAGTCAGGTAAGTGAGATTACTCCATTAAGTTTTATCACTAACAAGGAAGGTTGGTGCTGATTTTACCTCAGATCTCTACTAAGAGGCAGTTTGGCCTAGTGTTGCAGGCTAGAAACCAGGTGACAGTGAATTTTAGTCCTACCTTAGGCATGAAAGCTAGCTGGGTGACTTTGGATTAATCACCAGGAAATGGCGAGTCCTAGTCTCTCCCTGGGCATGAAAGCCGGCTGGGAGACTTTGGATCAGTCATCCTGTCTCAGCCCAATCTACCTCACAGGGTTATTGTTATTGTGAAGAAAAGAGAAGGAGGAAGGCGTATCAGGTATCTTTGAAGTATTTATAAAGATAATAAAGGTAGGATAAATAAATAAGGAATGTAATCTTCCCTCTCATCAAATGCTTGTTACCAATGAAGGAGAATATTCGTAGCTCAGGGTTGACATGAGGGGTCCTGGGTGCTCTCTGAGCTGGCTTGTTTTCTTGCAGGCGTTTCATTACCCTAACTAGGTTAACATCATCAGTGCTAGTAAGGAGTGCGGTTTGCTATCTGTTTGTGTTCTGGTATCTTGCCTGTCTGGGTGGGCGGAGTCAGATTGTTGTTCAGACCAACAATTAAGTAAGCAATACCCCAATCGAGAAACTGTCATAGAGCTATTAGTAAACAGCCCAACCAAGGAATTCCTACGACTACCCCCACCCATGCAGACAGGCAAGACACCAGAACAGGGGTCTTCAAACTTGGCCCTTTTATAATATATGGACTTCAACTCCCAGAATTCCTCAGCCAGGCACACTGCCTGAGGAATTCTGGGAATTGAAGTCCACAAGTCATAAAAGAGCCAAGTTTGAAGACCCCTGGGATAAGTGAATATAAGTGACTGCTTAGTTATGTGTTGAAGTGCCACTAGTGCAGGGGTCTTCAAACTTGGTCCTTTTATGACTTGTGGACTTCAATTCCCAGAATTCCTCAGCCAGGCACGCTGCCTGAGGAATTCTGGGAGTTGAAGTCCACAAGTCATAAAAGGACCAAGTTTGAAGACCCCTGCACCAGAATATAAACTGACAGCAAACAGCGTTCCTTACTAGCATCGATGATGTTACCTAGTTTGGGTAATGAAGCGTCTGCAAGAAAACAAGCAAGCTCAGAGAATGCCAAGGACCCCTCAAAAGCTTGCTTTCCTGCTTAATCTCTTTCCAGGATGCATTAAGCAAGATGTTGCTTCTGAACTGAGATTCTCAACCTGGATACAATACCATGATGCAAAAAAAAGGGTGTATGTGTCCCATATTCATTCTGTTTTTACAGAATCTGAAATGCAAGCTGGAAAAAGACCTTGATCTGGGACACAAATTACACTTATGGCTTAACACAACCTATGTAAACTGGAGCACCACCTGGGGATATCTTAATGATCTTGTTTCCATGAATTAGTCACGATATATAGACTGAGGTGGTCTTCCAAAAGATATCTGAGGATAATAAAAGAGGTCAAAATCCTGTTACAATTCCTCCAAACATGTTGACTCCTCTTCCTCCCCCTGTCCCTGCTGAAAATGTAATCCTGGCTTGGTTAAAAATGACCAATTCTTTGTTTATCCCAATAGGAGGTGGCCATGACAAAATGTTGCAGAGAGAAATGCCATTTTACTCCGGCTGTGTGAGACGTTTCCCTGACAAACCCAACCGTATCAAACAAGAGAACCAAAACACAGTGGAGAAGCCGCACAAGTGCTCTTGCTGCACCAAAAGCTTCATGAAAAGGTCCAACCTTCGTACCCACGAGAGAATCCACACGGGAGAGAAGCCATTCCGGTGCTCCGAATGCGGCAACAGCTTCAGCGACGGCTCCAGTCTCATCAGGCACAAGCGGAAGCACACCGGGGAAAAGCCGTACAGTTGCTCTGCATGCGGGAAGCGGTTCAACCAGAGCTCCAGCCTCATCAGGCACGAGCGGAGTCACACCGAGCAGAGACCCTACAAATGCTTGGAGTGTGGGAAAAGGTTCAACCAGAGCTCCACCCTCGTGCGGCACGAAAGAATCCACCGAGAACAGAGACTCTACAAGTGCTCGGACTGCGAGAAGAGATTTATTCAGAGTTCAAGCCTTCTTGCTCATGAGAGGATCCACCGGGGAGAGAAACCTTACAGCTGCACAGCTTGCGGAAAAGGCTTCGTCCAGAAATCGAACCTTCTGATTCACGAGATGAAGCACACCGGTTTGAAGCCGTTCAAGTGTCCAGACTGCGGGAAAGGCTTCAATCAGAATTCAAGCCTCGTCATACACCGGAGAATCCACACGGGGGAAAAACCGTACAGTTGCTCGCACTGCCGGAGACCTTTTAGCGACAAGTCGAGCCTTAACAAACATGAGCGAGCCCACCGAGGGGACAAACCGTACAAGTGTTCCAGCTGCGGGAAAAGTTTCGTGCGGCGGTCTCACCTCTTGACTCACGAAAGGATCCACACGGGAGTGAAGCCGTTCAAATGCTCGGACTGTGGGAAGAGCTTCAGTAGCCGGTCGCACTTGATCAGACACGAGGGGACGCACACGGGGGAGAAGCCCTACGATTGCTCTTTCTGCGGGAAGAGCTTCAACCGGAAGTCCAACCTGACGAACCACGAGAGGACCCACACGGGGGAGAAGCCTTACAAGTGCTCCGATTGTGGGAAAAGCTTTAGCGACAGGTCCAGTCTGATTAAACACGAGAGGATCCACACTGGGGAGAAGCCGTACAGTTGTGCGTCCTGCGAGAAAAGCTTCAGCGACAAATCGAGCCTTATCAGGCACGAGCGAATCCATACGGAAGAGAAGCCGTACAAATGCTCCGATTGCGGGAAAGGATTCAACCAGAGTTCGAGTCTCATCGTGCATGAGAGAACTCACACGGGGGAGAAACCCTTTAAATGCTCTGACTGTGGGAAAGGCTTCATTCGGAGGACGATTCTTAATAAACACGAGAGGACCCATGCTGGGGAGAAACAATAAAAAAAACCCTGGGTTAGTGGATTAGGCCCAGATTCCGTTATGAACTCCTAGATTTTCTGATTTGACAGTACACTGCTTGAAGGAAGCTGTATGGAGTTAATGTAGGCTAGTCATAGAGCTGTGCACTGAGACATTCATTACTTCTGTGATGTTAGATAGTCTTAGAGCAGAGGTGTGGCAATTTTAGGCTCTGTGGACTACAACTCCTAGAATTCCATGCTGACTCAGCAATTCTGGGAGTTGAAGTCCATAGATCCTAAAGTTGCCATACTTGTCACCCCTGCCTTAGAGAGAGATCTCTGTCCTTGCCTTCAAACCCTCTTCTGTCATTAAGTGGCATGGGGATTTACGCAAAGGCCACGGAGCACACAGAATTGTCTGCTGAAAGGCGTTACATTACTTAGAGCAGGAGTCCTCAACCTTGGCAACTTTAAGACTTGTGGACTTCAACTCCCAGAATTCCATAGCCAGCAAGTCTTAAAGTTGCCAAGGTTGAGGATCCCTGACTTAGAGTGAATTGTAAACATGTTCGATTCTGCTGCTGGAATGTGATCCTGATATTATTCCTTGCAGTGTTTCTCAACCGTGGCAACTTTGCGATGTGTGGACTTCAACTCCCAGAATTCTCCAGCTAGTGTTGCTAGCTGGAGAATTTTGGGAGTTGAAGTCCACACATCGTAAAGTTGCCAAGGTTGAGAAACACTGCAGTTTATGGAGAGCTGTCGGTGTATGGCATAGAGAGGATGCACAAGAGAGTCTGTCATGGTTAAGGGTAGACTGGAGGCTTGTGGGCTTGATACGTCAACTGTATGAAATTGTTCTTTCTCCAGAAAATAAAACAAGTGTGTGTGACAGGAAAAATAAAACATGGAATGTCAAGAATGATGAACCTAGTTTTGGAAACGAAACAGCTGCATTAATAAGGATAAAAAGTACTTTTTTAACATTTAAGTGTTGTTATCTACGTCAGAGTTCCCTAACCTTTCCGGTTGGTGGCCCCGGAGCGGGCGGGAGACGGGGGTAAAGGGATGATTTTGTGGCAGGGGCAGGCGTATGAGTGGGGCCGCAAGTATCCACAATTAGGATCGTGCAAATGGGACGGCGAGCAGCTGTGATGATGCTCACACGAGCGGGTCCACAAACACCCACGATGATGCTTGCGCAAATGGGACCCCGAGTGCCCTAAACGCTCACGCAAGTGGGTCACAAACACCCTGACACTCGTGCGCTGTTTACGCAAGGGGGGCCGTGCGTGCAGATGCACGCGCCCCAGCCAAGCACTCATGCGGCCTAGTGGTGATTAGGCCACGGCACGGCGGTGGACCACGGCCTATAGGTTGGGGACCCCTGATCTGTGTCATAATGGATAATAATCCCTGGTGGAACAATGCAATCTTATTCCTGTTTAAGTGGGTGACGGAGGCATTCTGGCTTTCCAAAACGAATTAGCAGCCATTTGGCACAGAGGGAGGTAACCTCGGCTCTTTTATGACTCGTGGACTTCAACTCCCAGAATTCCTGAGCCAGCATGGCTCAGCTTGGAAACCTCTCCCTTTCCCTTCAGCATGGCTGGCTCAGGAATTCTGGGAGTTGAAGTCCACGAGTCATAAAAGAGCCTAGGTTGCCTACCCCTGCGTTTGGGTATATGGAGTTTAACATCTGAAATTAGATTTCTTTTTCCTTCTTCTCCCTTGCACTCCATGTCCTTGCTGTGTAAGACTAAGGGTCAGTATGGTAACAGTCTACAGCAGGGGTGTAAAACTGCTAGTCCGCAGGCCAGACGCGTCATGGCGAAACTGCGCCCACCCCATTGGCGGCAATGGGAAAAAAGTCATGATATGTCACACCACGCCACGTGACGTTGCGAGTTTTGATAACCCTGGTCTACAGATACAGGTAGCGCTTGTCTTACAGCTACAATTAGGATCAGGATTTCCATTGCTCAGCAAAGCGATTATTAAGTGAGGTGTGCCTAGTTTTACGACCTGGTTTGCCGTTGTTGTTAAGCGAATCACTGCAGTGGTTCGACGAACCACATGGTTCGTTAAGCGAGTTCAACTTCGCTTCTTGGAAGTTGACTGGGAAGGTCCCCAACGGGGGTCAATGACCTCCCCTCCCCAGGACATTGTAACCATTGGAAATATGTGTCAGCTGCCAAGCTTCCAATCATGTGACTCATGGGGATGCTGCAACCGTGATAAAACATAGGGACCTTTTTTCAGGGCCGTTTCAACTTTGATTGCTAAACGAATGGTTTTTAAGTCGAGGACTACTCGTACCTAAAAGGCACGGGTGGAGAACAAGGTTTGAGCACAGATCAAGAGAATGAGCTGAAAACAAAGGAGATTCAGGCTGAGTATTGTCAGTTCTCCAGCAGTTGTATTGTGAAGACCAGAACTAGACACAGTACAGGTAGTCCTCGACTGAACGACAGTTCATTTAATGACCGTTCAGAAGTACATCACTGAAAAAGGAAATTTATGACCATTTTTCACTCTTAACGACCGTTGCACCATCCCCGGATCACGTGATCAAAATTCAGATGCTTGGCAACTGACTTGTATTTATGATCGTTGTAGTGTCCCGGGGGTCATGTGATCCCCTTTTGCGACCTTCTGACAAGCAAAGTTAACGGGGAACCCAGACTCACTTAACAACCGTGTTACTAAATAGTTGCACAATGATTTACTTAACTGTGGCTAGAAAGTTCATAAAATGAGAGGCAAAAACTCACTTAACAAATGTCTCACTTAGCAACATACATTTTGGGCTCAATTGTGGTCGTAAGTTGAGGACTATCTGTTTTTCAGGGATATTGAGACCAGGTGCAATACGGATAGGAGTTGTCCTTTCCCATAATCTTGATCAAATATCCCTGTTGATGCAGTCCCACCTTGCGTTGGCCCTTAGGGCAGCAGCAGAGCTGGAATTAAGCACAAAGTGTGTGTGTGTGTGTGTGTGTGTGTGTGTGTGAGAGAGAGAGAGAGAGAGAGATAGAGAGAGAGAGACAAGATGGAACCAAGTGACTTTTGCCCTCCCATGGCTGTGCATATAGATCGAGTGCCCAAACTGCAACCCAAAACCCACTTATGCATTGTCGGGTGCCGGGTGGGTGTGGCCCATTGGCTGGGTGTGGCCAATTGGAAGGGTGTGGCCCATTGGGTGAGCGTGGCTGCCGTGGTAACGGCAGACTGGGTGGGACTAAAAAGTTCAATCAATCAATTCCAACTTTGCAAGATCTTTTTTTCCCTGCGAGAAGTTGAAATTGACTGATTGATTGAACCTCTTTTTTTTTGTTTGCACATGGCGGCGGAGGCCTAAAGCGAAAAGGTTTTACAAAACCCAGCTGAAGGCCTAGGACTGGGGCGACGGCGCGTGTGCCCACAGAGAGAGCTCTGAGTGCCACCTCTGGAACCCATGCCATAGGTTTGCCACCACTGACATAGGTCATACAGAGAGGGCCTCAATAAACACCCATTGAATTCAAGGAGTTGTTGATCAGGAATTCATTAGCCCATATTTGTGTGAATGTGTTTATTAATGTTCCTTGCCAGTCCTCAAAGTATAGGTAGTCCTCAGCTTAAGATCACAATTGAGTCTCCAATTTCCAGTGGTAAGCAAGACCGTTGTTAAATAAGTTTTACTGCATTTTACAACATTTTATGCCACAGTTGTCAAGCGAATCACAGTGGACATTAAGCAAACCCAGCCTCTTCCCCCCCCCCCCCCCATTGATTTTGCTTGTCAGAGGCTGGCTGGGAAGGATACTACAGATGGTAGTCACACGGAGACTGTGCGGTTGTCATAAATACGCGCCAGTTGCCAAGTGCCTGAATTTTGATCACATGACTGAGGATGCCACAACCGTCGTTAAGTGTGAGAAAGAGTCATAAGTCACTTTTTTCGGTGCTATTGCAACTTTGAAGTCACTAATTGAATGGTTGGAAATTGAGGACTGCCTGTACTCTTGTCATCGACTACTTTATGTCAATATACTTTTTGCCTAGCCATGTCATTAGCTGCCCTAACTGATACCTGTATATCATAACTTAGATAAATTTCAGTTGTGATACGTAATTCTTTATATTCTGAAGTCTTTTCTCCTTCCCCCATCTTCAACATGGAGATGGGCTCAGTGGAACAAAACTCAGTAAAAGAAAGTGCTTTGATGATGGAAGAAAGCTATGTTGTGTGAAAAGGGATATAGCAATAGCACTTAGATTTCTATACCACTTTGAAGTGCTTTACAGCCCTTTCTAAGTGGTTTTACAGAATCAGCATATTGCCCCCCAACAATCTAGGTTCTCATTTTATCAACCTCGGAAGGATGGAAAGTTGAGTCAACTTTGAGCCGGTCAGGATCGAATTCCTGGCAGCGGGCAGTGAGTGAGCCTGCAATACTGCATTCTAACCACCAGGACTCTGTGATATGATCACTTTTAGATTCAAACAGACACAATAAATCTGCAGGTAGTCCTCGACTTACAACTTACTAGGATCAGAATTTCTGTCATAAGTTATGGTTGTAAGTCAAAGTGGACCCAGTTTTACGACAGTTTTTACGGAGGTTGTTAAGCAAATCACTGCATTCATTAAGTGAATCCAGCTTCCCCAACGGGTGCTTTTTGCCACAAATCAGCAAAAGCCACAAAGTGTGGCCACAAGACACTGCAGTCTATCACGGTTACCAAGCAACTATGCAATCACATGTGACAATCATTAAGTGCAAGTACTTATGCCTTAAGTCATTTTTTCCAAGCAGGCATAATGTTTGAACTGTCATTGAACTGAGATCTTAATAATAATACAATTGGAAGGGACCTTGGAGGTCATCAAGTCCCACCCCCTGCTCAGGCAGGAAACCCTATACCATTTCAGACAAATGGCTGTCCAGGCTCTTCTTAAAAGCTTCCAGTGTTGGAGCATTCACCGCTTCTGGAGGCAGGTTGTTCCACTGGTTAATTGTTCTAACTGTCAGGAAGTTTCTCCTTAGTTCTAGGTTGCTTCTCTCCTTGGTTAGATTCCATCCGTTACTGCTTGTCCTGCCTTCAGGCGCTTTTTTGCCTCATGCAAATCCCACATATCAACAGCTTTCCTCTTTCATTCATTTTTTCCCTCTCTAAACTAGCTCACGGGTGAGTAATGATCTTTCTTTGGGATCCAACTGTTTAATTGGTGCTAAGTAACCACAGCTGTTTTTTTTTTAATCATTAAGCCCATATAGAGATTAGAAAGAAAGCATTCACGTTCTGGGCTTCTTCCCATTGACTGGACTTTTGCACTCCCCTTTGCACACAAATCCTGACTTGTACAAATTATTCAGAATTCAGTTCCAAGTTCTGCCCTCCAGACAAGAGTTCCAGTATTGAATATTGGCTGAGATCACACATTCTGCTCAACCACAGCTGGCGTCTCATTTATTTTAATCACATTTCCGCTGGATTAACTCACTCAGTGCTCTGAGCCATGTTTTCTAAGTCATAGGATGGCTTGCTTTTGTTTTAGAGCAGGGGTGGGCAACTATGACAACTTTGCAACCTGTGGACTTCAACTCCCAGAATTCTTGAGCCAGCCATGCTAGCTCAGGAATTCTAGGAGTTGAAGTCCACAGGTCACAAAGTTATCATAGTTTCCCACCTGTTTTACAGTGTTATGTCCCAATCTTGGCAATTTCCAAGTGTGTGTGGACTTCATTTCCCAGAGTTCCTCAGTAAACGTGCTCATTACTGAGGATTCTGGGAGTTGAACTCCACAGGTCATAAAGTTATCATAGTTACCTTCCCATTTTACTTTTGTGTCCCAATCTTGGCAGTTTCCAAGTGTGTGGACTTCATTTCCCAGAGTTCCTCAGTAAACGTGCTCATTACTGAGGATTCTGGGAGTTGAAGTCCACCCATATGGAAAATGGAAAATACCGACATAGTGTATATTGGGTGAGCCCAGCTTGTATATAGCAATTTTACTGTTGAAGTTGTAGTTTATAGAATTCAGTGAATATTCACTATAGATCTTAAACTTTATGCATTTATACACTAAGCCTGTCCCAAATGCTTGCTTGCAACCTTGGTGTCCAAAATGAGAATTGCCTTCATCTTGAGTAAGCATGCCTCTATTTGTTTCTTGATCTCTGCAAGCAGCAGCTGTTGTTCTTTTTAATTCACTGGTGATGTTTCAGAGAGATTTTTAAGATCAAAAGAGTTTGGGGAACAATTGTGCTAGAGGTTTTCTACTCAAAGAGAAAATTTTTAAAAACCTCACCACAGATAGGCCTCCTGAATTCTGGTTTTGCACGTGCACGCATATATATGCTGCATGTTAAGCAGCTGTGTTTAACCTCTAGGCCACAGGCTCTTTCTCACTTTGCCAGCAGTATCAGGGAGGGAAGAGACAAGGGAAGAGAATTATCTTGAGTACTATTTGATACACCCTGTCGATCCAAATATGGGAGAAAGAAATCTTTCAGCTGGCAAAATGAGAAAGAGCCTGTGGCCTAGAGGTTAAACACAGCTGCTTAACATGCAGACAGCCCAGGTTCGAATCTCAGAAAAGGTATGTCTGGTTGATAAGAACTAAAGAGTTCAAAATAGCTATTCCAGTTCTTTAATTCTTTGCTAGCAATCCAAATTTTAGAATATATACAATGTCACAGTTGTGACTGACATGCCTGTGGATGGCTCTAGTTTGAGCTGATAGAAGGCAAAAGATTTCTTTCTCCCATATTTGGGTCGACAGGGTGTATCAAATAGCACTCAAGATAGATAGATAGATATAGATATATAGATATATACACACACACAAACATACAAACCAGGATATAGAGAGCTTATCAACTATTGGATTTTTTATTTTATCAAGGTAATCACATGATGCAAAGATCCAGCTGTCTGGAAAAGACTCTGATGCTGAGAAAGGAGGAAGGAAAGAGAAAAGAAAAGATGAATAGCAGCAAGATGGATGAATTCAGATACTGCAGCACCATTGGAAGACCTGAAGGACCAGGTTAGGGCCATATTATTGAAAAAAATTCCTCTATGTCAGGCATGTCAAACTCACGACGTCACGTGACGTCACGCAACGTATCGGAGCTTTTTCGCCATTGCCGGCAATGGGGTGGGCGCGGCTCTGGTATGATGAAACTGGCCTGTGGGCCGACAGTTTGACACCCCTGCTCTATGTGATTCTTAAAAAATAAGAAACTCAATGGCACATAATCACGTTTATCATAGCAGACATGTTGTGTGAATCAGTAAGACCCACTGGAATAGCTGTTTGGGGGCAGTGTTTGCAACAAGCTCTTAGGTCTGGGATTTTAATTCTCATATTTATAATTGTGCCAAATGAAATAGGCACCAACACAATTTCCTAGTAGGCTTGGGACTGTAGAATGCTAAGGCTGGTGAATTCAGGGAGTTGAACACCGCACGACACATCTTAAAGTTGCTGTCCCAAGAACTGGAATTAAAAGAACTATCCTGAAATTCGATAAGAAATGCTTAATATTTTCAAAAGTGCCGCTGTTCCCTCTCCCAGATTGCAACCATTCCTTTAAAAAAATACATTGTTTGCCAGCTTTAATATACCTGAAATATATCTGAAGGTATGGGGGGGGGGAACTGAGGTTAGATTAAAAGTCAAATTGAGATTGTGTTTCTCCTTCAAGGCAAAGCTTCTGATCTAGATCAAGAAAAACTGATTATCTCAAAGAAGACTTTGTCCGTTCTTGCCTTTGTCTCAACATGGCTGGGACCCTTTTTAGCGAAAGGATTTGGGGGTGAATTCAATCAAACTGTTTTTTACAGGATCCCCACTGCCCTGCAATTAAAATATTGAATGTGCCATTCTACAGTAACCAGTATCAGAAAGTGGCTAATAATTTTATTTAGTTAATTTAATATTTGTAATCCTATTACTAAGGAGAGGAATTCCTGCACTCCCAAAAATTATCTTTGCTCTGTTTCTTCCATCGTCTGTCTCAATGCTCGGAGTCATCCAAATCAAATATTATCATTTGTGAATTTTCTGTAACATTCCATGTGGATAACTGAACTTCTAGCAGTCCTAATGTTTTCTTTCTGGGAAATTAGTTAAATAAAAGGGATTGCCAAAACAAAGGTAACTGATGCAGGTGTTAAGATAGTGTCTTAAATTCAGAATTAAGGATAACTCTGTGATAGATCCAGAAATTACACAAATAAAGCATTAGTACAGTACTTCTGTTGGAGAATACTTTGTTCTTTCATACATGACCTGCAAGTAGGAAAAAAGGGAGATTGATTTTCAATCAATCAATCAATTTCAATTTCTTATGATATTTAGAGAAAACCAATCTCTATTTTTTCCCCACATAATCAAAAACAAACCTGTCTTAAAGCCCAGCATGACATTTTTAGTGTGTGTTAAGGTTTGATCAGTCATTAAAAGTTTCCCAACAATGTGAGCGTAGATCATAGAATCATAGGGCTGAGGTCTCCTAGACCAGGGGTAGACAACCTTGGCTTTTATGACTCATGGACTTCAACTCCCAGAATTCCTGAGCCAGCATGGCTCAGCTTGGAAACTCTTCCTTTCCCCTCAGCATGGCTGGCTCAGGAATTCTGGGAGTTGAAGTCCACAAGTCATAAAAGAGCCAAGGTTGCCTACCCCTGTTCTAGACCAACCCCCTGCTCAAGGTCTCCTGAAATAGCTGTCCGGTCTACTTTTAACCCACAACTCCAGATGTCAAGCTCCATATGGGTACTCTTGTGTGCAAGTAAACTGGTTGAATCACATACTTTTTTTTTTTCTTATCCTGCATGAGTTCTCTCATGTTTCATCAGGCTGGATTTGTATACAAATCTCTTCCCGCAACCCAAACATGACTATGGTTTCTCCCCTCTATGGGTTCTCTTTTGGGCCATGAGGACTGTTTTTTCACTGAACGTTTCCTCACAGGGGATGCATTGCTTTGGTTTTTCTTTTGCACGCATCCCTGAATTTTTCATCAAGGTCATGGGCAATTTGGAACTTTCCCCACAATCTGAGAACAGATTTTCTCGTTTTCCTTTGTGGGTTTTCTTGTGCCGGAGGAGGTTTGATTTCTGGATGAAGCTTTTCCCACATTCTGAACAGATGTGGGGTTTCTCCCCCGTGTGGATCCTTTGGTGTTTGATCAAGCTGGATTTGCTGGGGAAACCTTTCATGCAGCTGGAGCACTGGTACGGCTTTTCATCGGTGTGGGTCCTCTGGTGTACGACGAGAGTTGATTTATTGCTGAAGTTCTTCCCACACTCAGCGCAGTTGTAAGGCTTTTCTCCTGTCTGGGTCTTTTGGTATTTTAAGAGGTTCCACCAGGTGTTGAAGAATTTCCCACAGCCAGCACACTTGTGTGACTTTTCGCCCACGTGGGTCCTCTCATGCACAATAAAATTGGGCCTTTGGCTGAAACCTCTTCCACATGCTGGTTTATATGGTTTCTTTCTTAGATGGACTCTCTCATGCATGGCAAGCTTGCATTTCAGGCTGTATCCTCTTCCACAGTGGGAGCAGGTGTGCAAATTTGGTCCATTACGGAGCCCCTTGGGGGCTGCAAGAAGCATTAATTTGGGAACGATGCTTTTTCCACAGGGAGGGAACCAATATGGCTTCCTTCCCACTCGAGGTCTTTTGTGTCTGAGGAGAGCTAACCTATAACTGAAGTGTTTCCCACAACAGGAGCAGGAATACAACTTCTCCCCTTGTATCCTTTCATGTCTGGTAAAACTCGTTTTATCAACAAAGCTTTCCCCGCAAATTGGTTTCTCTCTTGTGTGGCTTCTTTGGTGGATCACCAAGCTTAAGTTGTGATGGAATCTCTTCCCACACTTTGAACACTCATGGGGTTCCTCTTCCTTATGTGTCATCTCATGGACGAGAAGATGCGACCTTTGAAGGAACCGCTTCCCACAGTCTGCGCATTGATAGGATTTCTTGCCCGTATGGATCCTCTCGTGTATCAGGAAGTTTGACCGCTGAATGAAACCTTTTCCGCACTGTGAACACTGATACGGCCTCTCACCTGCTTCCATCTTTTCGTGCCTGAGGAGCGCTGATTTGTGACGGAAACTCTTCCCACATTCGGAGCAGGAGTATGGTTTCTCTCCCGTGTGAGTCCTCTCATGCCTGGTCAAGATGGACCTCTGGCTGAAACTTCTCCCGCACTCTGTGCATTTATACGGCTTCTCTCCCATGTGAGTTTTCTCGTGTCGAACAAGGCTGGATCTCTGCGTGAAGTTTTTCCCGCAATTGGAGCACTGATGAACTTTCTCCCCCATGTGGCTTCTTTCGTGGATGAGAAGGCTTAAGCTGTGATTGAATTTTTTCCCGCATTTTGAACATTCATGAGATGCCTCCTGCTTATGGGTTATCTCGTGGACAAGGAGATGCCACCTTTGGACAAAGCTCTTCCCACAATCTGAGCACAAGTATGGTTTCTCGCCGGTGTGGATTCTCTCGTGGATGAGAAAGTTTGATTTCTGAATAAAACCCTTCCCACAGTGTGAACATTCATAGGGTCTCTCTCCAGCCTCCATCTTTTCATGCCTGAGGAGTGCTGATTTGTGGCGGAAGTTTTTTCCACACTGAGAGCATTTATATGGCTTCTCTCCCGTATGGGTCCTCTGGTGTCGGGTCAAGATTGATCTCTGACTGAAGCTTCTCCCACACTCCAAACACTGGTATGGCTTCTCTCCTGTATGGGTCTTCTCATGTCTGACAAGGCTGGACCTCTGCGTGAAGCTTTTCCCGCAATCAGCACATTTATTCTCCTTATTTCCCACGTAGCTCTGTCTCAGCTCCTCTTCTGTGGGATAAATGGAAAATCACAATGTGAAAACAGGCAAAGGAAATGGTGGCAAACAAATTCAGGATATGGTGTTATCACGTGCTTTTTACTCCCTGTAGCGCAGTGGTTCTCAACCTGTGGGTCGGGACCCCATTTGGGGTCGAACAACCATTTCACGGGGGTCGCCAAACAACGCAGTCTGCCATTTTTTCCCCCCTTTTCCTTAGCTGTGCTACTCCCTTTTATTCTATTGGCTTTTGAAAGCCAGTAGAACACTCTCTTGAACAGAGTCTAATTCTATTGGCTTTCAAAAGCCAATAGGAATTGTCCAGGCTGTCTCTGCCCTGCTGAGCCCACCAAAAGTCCCATTCTGCAAACGGTGCTGCACCAGTTGAGTAGTCCTCGATTTACAACCGGTTGACTAGTCCTCGACTTATGACCGGTTGGGGGGTTGCGGCATTAAAAAGGTTGAGAACCACTGCTGTAGCGTGAGGAAGAGAAAATTATAGTTACAGTTAGTCCTCGACTTACGACAATTGTAACCAGACTTTCCATTGCAAAGAAAGGCTGTTAAGTGAGTCACATCCAATTTTATGACATTTTATGTCACAGTGGTTAAATGACTCACTATGGTTGTTAAGTGTATTATTCAGTTCTTCACTGACTTTGCTTGTTAAAAGCTGGCTGGACTTTAAAATACTCATAGCGATCCTCTTCCTTACGCATTGCCTCATGGATGAGAAGATGCGACTTTTGAAGGAACCGCTTCCCACAGTCTGCACACTGATAGGTTTCTTGTATGGATCCTCTCACAAATGGTGATCACATGACCCCACGACATTGCAACCGTCTTAAATACATGCCAGTTGCCAAGCACTTGAATGTTGATCACATGACCACGGGGATGATAAGTGTGATGACCAATTAGTTGCTTTTTTCAGTGCTGTTGTAAGTTTGAATAGATGTTAAATGAATGATTGCAAGTTGAGGACTACCTGTATATTCTTTTACACTTTACAATCTGGTCTTTTTTATTTTCCACGTTTACATCACCAAGTAGAAAACTTCAGGGGTCCTCCTTAAGTGTGAAGTACGGCCTACGTATTTATTTATTAAACAAATTTACATATACAGTGACTTCAGCAGTATACAACATTAAAAAATCTACAGTTTTACCCTGTGGTAGTGACAACACAATTATGTTTCTCTACTAATTGCAGAAGCTGAAAATTAGGCTGATCAGTCTTATAGTTTTTCTCTCAGCGAGAAATGTTCAATACCACCTAAATATAATGACATCACCTTCACATTTGACAAATAATGAACTTGGGTACAAAAATTAAATTAAGAATATAGCCAAATCAGGCAAATTGGAATCTGGTGACAAAGCAAATAGAAAACATTAACAGCAATCTGTGAATATTTGGGATCCAAATGGATAGAATGATAATTTTATAATAACTCATTATAAAGCCTGTCTGAACTTGCATTACTTGCTGGTTCTAACAGCCGCTACTGACAGCCATTGCTAGAAAATGTTCCTTCAATCTTGACCTCAGTTCATAGTGACAATAAGACAGGCAGTAATAAAAGCAATTTTTACTCCAAGTACTGGAAATTCAGTTAAAAAAAAAAAAAAGTTGAATTGCTTCTCTTCATAGTTTTTGTTATTGCAATCTTGGAAGCTGATGTTTCTTCTCCTTCCCTCTGATGACATAATGATGCATTATTTCAAGATCTGGCTGTCTTGTGAAATAAAAATTCTTACCTGAATGAGCAGATGGGAACACCCCATTTCCTTCAAAGGTCTGGTGATACAGCACCCATCGATCTTCCTGTTCTTCCTTCTTTATTATCACAGCAGGAAGATCTGCTCAGAGAAATGAGACAATCAAATTTTACCGTGATCAGACATTTCCCAAAGTCTTCTCCTCTTGAGTAGTCTGGCTGACCTCTGTTGCTCCTGCCTTTTCTCTGCCCTGTGTGTTCTCGGATCAGGTGCAGAAGGCAGTTCTTCCTTCTCTTCGCTGGCCCGTCTGCCACCGCAAACCTTCCCCGTCTGAAGCCTCCTCCAAATCTCTTTCGGATGGCCGTTCAGAGCCATCAGTACACCCAGTTCCTGAGGTGCCAGAAATGGGCTTAACCTCCCTGAGCTGACATCTGAGGAGGAATCTGGGGAGTTGCCCAAGGGAGACATCACACAATCCGTACCTCTTGCGTACCCTCCCTGACCTGTGCCACATTTTATAGGCCCCCTCACACCTTCTCTGTGACCCACACTACACATCTCATGTGACCTCAGGGGTGCTTCAATAATTGTAACCCCAGGGAATAAGTACCGCTTATTCAGCACCATCATAATTTTGAACAGCTATTGAACAAATTGTTGTTAACCAAGGTCTACCTGTATATCCCTTCCATACAAGACTGAATAATTTGCTTTCACTTTCCTTTTTATGCTACTACAGGTAGTCCTCAACTTACAATTTTTCAGCTAGTGACCTTTTAAAGTTACAACTGCATGAAACACAACCATTGCAGCATCCCCATAGTCATGTAATCAAAATTCAGATGCTTGGCAACTAGTTCATATTTATGACGGTAGCAGTGTCCCGGGGTCACGTGATTGACCTTCTGACAAGCAAAGTCAATGGGGAAGCCAGATTCATTTTACAACCATGTCACTAACTGAACAAATGCAATGATTCACTTAACAACTGTGGCAAGAAAAGCTGTAAAATGGGGCAAAACTCACTTAACAAATGTTTCACTTAGCAAAATAAGCATAACATCAATTGTAGTCATAACTCGAGGACTACCTGTATGTATTCTGCGGTAAACTACTTTGTACGTATCACACAAGAGTTCTCTTCCTCACGTTCCGATCTGTTTATCACCTTCCTTAGAACTGGGAGAAAATATTCGGGTCATTCAACTTTCAACAATTACCCCATGGAGTTTTGCAATGCTTGGAAGATGCCGTGGTTAGAAGTGGTTAGGCTAACTCACTGCCCACTGCCCACTGCCAGGAGTTCGATCTTGACTGGCTCAAGGTTGACTCAGACTTTCATCCTTCCAAGGTTGGTAAAATGAGGATCCAGATTGTTGGGGGTGCAATATGCTGACTTTGTAAACTTCTTAGAGAGGGCTGTAAAGCGCCATGAAGCAGTATATAAGTCTAAGTGCCATTGCTATACCTCTTTTCTTGCCTCTTTGTTCATTTATACCAGAGAGTGTTGCCTTTGCAATGAGTCAAAAGGGAGAAGATTTCTAATGATTTGAGATGAACTGGACTTCCCTTCTTACCTGAAGTGTTATACATTATAGTTTCACTTTCTTGGAGACGTGAGAGCAACGTTTTTCTTTCTTGTTCCGCATTTACTGGCAGCCACTGCTCCTCTCCTTGTTCCATTTTTTTTTTTTTTTTTTTTATTGAAATTTTTCAAAAGTTTTACAAATAAAAATCCTTGTTCCATTTTTATTATTACATCGGGGAACTCTGGGCAAAATAATATAATAATAAAATAATATCCGTGGCTCAATGAATCAACAGTGTTATATTCTTGGGGAGAGGAGGCCAAAAAAAAGTTTGATATGGCAGTTTCTATTTTTTTCCCCTCCAAGAAAAAAAGTATTTATTAAACTGTTTTACAAAAATGTACTGAGTTTTACAATGTCTTAAATACTTAATTCTAAGACTTTGCAAGGCAAAATGTTTTTGAAGGGGGCGTTTTCACCGACTCTCTCACCTAAGCCATTCTCCAATGGAGTCTCCTCTTCGTTCGCAGCTGGATGAGCTGAGATCTGTGCTTCTTTTCCGCTCTTGAGCTGTGAGGTCATGTCAAGCTTGGGGCCTGATGACAATAGGGGAAAAAAGAGAATCAATCCAAATATAGTCCTCGCCTTAGGACCAGTCCTTAGTGACCGTTTGAGAGGATTTGGGAGGCAGAGACGCTGATTTGATATTGGAAACTAGCTACAAAGTTTGGCCTAGACTAGAGCAGCCTCTGGTTTAATGACATGCAGAAGATATGGACTACAAGTCCATATCAAGGAGAGAAGCAAACTAGAACTAAGGAGAAACTTCCTGACAGTTAGAACAATTAACCAGTGGAACAACCTGCCTCCAGAAGCGGTGAATGCTCCAATACTGGAAGTTTTTAAGAAGAGACTGGACAGCCATTTGTTAGAAATGGTATAGGGTTTCCTGCCTGAGCAGGGGGTTGGACTAGATGACCTCCAAGGTCCCTTCCAACTTTATTATTATTATTAAATCCATATTAACAACTGTTCATATGGTGACCATTCAAAATTACAGTAACATTAAAATGTGACTTATGACCGTTTTTCACACTTAGGATTGTTGCAGCATCCCCATGGTCATTTATTTATTTATTTATGAGACTTATATACCACTTTAAGTGCAAGCACTCTCTAAGCGGTGTACACCAGTAAGCAATGTATATATATATATTTACATTGCCCCCAACAATCTGGGTCCTCATTTTACCTACCCCGGAAGGATGGAAGGCTGAGTCAACCTTGAGCCGGTGGGATTTGAACCGCTGACCTGCTGAACACAGTCAGCTAAAGTGGCCTGCAGTACTGCACTCTAACTGCTGCACCACCTCGGCTCTTGTGATGTCATGTGATCAAAAGTTGAACTCTTGGCAATTTATGACGATTGCAGTCCGGGGTGTGTGTGTGTGTGTGTGTCATGAGATCAACTTTTTGTGACCTTCTGACAAGCAACGTCACTGGGGATATCAGGTTCACGTAACAATTGTGTCACTAACTTAACTGCAGTGATTCACCTAACAACTAGGGCAAGAAAGATTGTAAAATGGGGCAAACTTACTTAACAATTGTCTTGCTTAGCAACAGACATCTTGGACTCAGTTGTGGTTGTAAGCTGAAGATTATCTGTATTCGCCTTTTGACCCTATCATTCTTGTGTTACCACTTATCCTAAAACAGGGGTAGGCAACCTTGGCTCTTTTATGACTCGTGGACTTCAACTCCCAGAATTCCTGAGCCAGCATGGCTCAGCTTGGAAACCTCTCCCTTTCCCCTCAGCATGGCTGGCTCAGGAATTCTGGGAGTTGAAGTCCACGAGTCGTAAAAGAGCCACGGTGGCCTACCCATCCTAAATTGTCTCTGCTTGTCCCATTAAGATCCATGTGGTGGCTGTGCCCCAAAGCAAAAAATTATTGGGAACGAATAAGAGATTGGATACAGGAGATAATGGAGATACAAATGGATTTTAAACCAGAATGATTTCTTTTGGGCATAATAAATTTAAAGATGGAAAAACAACTCCAACATATCATTATACACATATTGGCTGCAGCGCGTGTAACATATGCTCAATGTTGGAAGAATGAAAATATTCCCACAAATGATATGATTATGTACAAAATCTTGGAATGCGCAGAAATGAACAAACTTATGTTAGAATTAAAAGACAAGGAGGCGACAGAATTTTATGAAATTTGGAATAAATGTTATAATTGGCTAGAACAGAGAAAGGAAAAGACATAATTATTGATGTACATAAAATGTAAATCAGATGTAAAGAATGCTTAAAATGTATAGTACTGTTCTGTTAAAAGGAAAGATTTATGTTTATGTATTTTAAGTTTGTTTGGGCGTATGGTGTATGGTGAAAAATTATAAAAAATTAAAAAAAAAAAGATCCAGCAGAAACAGGCAGGCTTCAAAGCCCTTCTTCCATAAAGCAAGGGGACCCAGAGAGGTGCCTTCTCTGTTGTGGCACCAATGTAATTCCCCTCCCAAAGTTTGAATGGCCTCAAACCTCTTGTCATTCTTCATTTCACATTTGATAGGCTCAGTTAACACTTATGATCACTGCAGTATCCCCACGGTCACATGATCAAAATTATGTTTGGCATAATGTGAACCAGATGTTTGGCAACTGGTTCACATTTATGACGGTTGCAATGTCCTGGGGCCATGTGATTGACCTTCTGACAAGCAAAGTCAATGGGAAAGCCAGATTCACTTAATAAGCATGCTACTCATTTAACAACTGCAGTGATTCACTTAAGTGTGGCAAGAGATGTCGTAAAATAGGACAAAATTCACTTAACAAATGTTTCACTTAGCAACAGAAATTTTGGGCTCAGTTGTGGTTGTAAGCTGAAGATGATCTGTATTCGCCTTTTGACCCTATCATCCTTGTGTTACCACTTATCCTAAAACAGGGGTAGGCAACCTTGGCTCCTTTATGACTCGTGGACTTCAACTCCCAGAATTCCTGAGCCAGCATGGCTCAGCTTGGAAACCTCTCCCTTTCCCCTCAGCATGGCTGGCTCAGGAATTCTGGGAGTTGAAGTCCACGAGTCATAAAAGAGCCAAGGTGGCCTGTCCCTGTCCTAAATTGTCTCTGCTTGTCCCATTAAGATCCAGCAGAAACAGGCAGGCTTCAAAGCCCTTCTTCCATAAAGCAAGGGGACCCAGAGAGGTGCCTTCTCTGTTGTGGCATCAATGTAATTCCCCTCCCAAAGTTTGAATGGCCTCAAACCTCTTGTCATTCTTCATTTCACATTTGATAGGCTCAGTTAACACAGATAGTCCTCGACGTACAAGTTCTTTTAGTGACCATTCAAAGTTGCAGCGGCCCTGAAAAAAGTGACTTACGACTGTTTTTCATACTTATGACCATTGCAGCATCCCCATGGTCACATGATCAAAATTAGGATGTTTGGCAACTGCTTCACATTTATGACGGTTGCAGTGTCCTGGGGCCATGTGACGGACCTTCTGACAAGCAAAGTCAATGGGAAAGCCAGATTCACTTAATAAGCATGCTACTCATTTAACAACTGCAGTGATTCACTTAAGTGTGGCAAGAGATGTCGTAAAATAGGACAAAATTCACTTAACAAATGTTTCACTTAGCAACAGAAATTTTGGGCTCAGTTGTGGTCGTACGTCGAGGACTACTTGTACTCTTGCTATCAGCTATAATAAAGATCAGCACAGAGATGGAGAAATGAAGGCAAAACAGAAATATTCTTCCAAGAATGGAAAAAGTGCAGAGAAGAGCAACAAAGGTAATTAGGGAACTGGAGGCTAAAATGTACGGTTGCATTAGTAGTTTAATGAAGAGAAGGACGAGGAGGGACATGATAGCAGTGTTCTAGTATCTCAGGGGCTGCCACAACAAAGAGGGAGTCAAGCTTTCTCCAAAGCGCCTGAAGGCAGGACAAGAAGCAACGGATGGAAACTAACCAAGGAGAGAAGCAACCTAGAAGCAAGGAGAAATTTCCTGAAAGTGAGAACAATTAATCAGTGGAACGATTTGCCTTCACAAATTGTGGGTTCTCCATCACTGGAGGTTTTTAAGAAGAGACTAGACTGCCACTTATCTGGAATGGTATCCAGTCTCATGTTTGAACAGTGGGCGAAGACCTGCAAAGTCCCTTCCAATTCTGTTATTCTGCTACTCCAAGCTAAAGCAATCCTCCAATCAAGCCAAGAGTTGGTTGTTTTAGCAGCATTCTCTTCACCTCTGATGCAACTATACATGTCTTGCCTCTAAATGCCATTTTGGGACAGCTGTTATAATAATAATGATTATGATGATGATTATGATGATAAAGTTGGAAGGTACCTTGGAGGTCATCTAGTCCAACCCCCTGCTCAGGCAGGAACCCTACATCATTTCAGATAAATGGCTGTCCAGTCTCTTCTTAAAAACTTCCAGTATTGGCGCATTCACCACTTCTGGAGGCAGGTTGTTCCACTGGTTAATTGTTCTAACTGTCAGGAAGTTTCTCCTTAGTTCTAGGTTGCTTCTCTCCTTGGTTAATTTCCATCCGTTGCTTCTTGTTCTGCCTTCAGGCGCTTTGGAAGTTATCTTTTGGGTGCTACAGAAAATTAAAATTGAGAGCAGGTAGGGATCCAAAATTATTGCTATTTTTTGGGGGGTGGGGGAGGATGAAGTGGGCGGGGGTGATAAAACAGAGTGGGTGAATCATGATTCCAAGATTTTTATTTCCCCTGGATTTGGGTGGAGGGAAGATGCTTTTAAAACAAGTTCTTAAAACTTGTTGTAGGTTACATTCGTTTGCATAGGTTTTCTGTCTCAGCGTGGCGGGAAACCTGGTCGCCAATTGGCAACAATAGCCTAGTACTGTTCTGAAAATAGTAATAATAATCAGAACATCTGGATGATAGCGATGAACCGCAATAACAACAAAAACAACAATAATAATAGAAGCAGAAAATCTTTTTAAAACACACACACACCTCGGGTTTCTAGCGCCAGTAATCTCCCCATGCTCCCAACAATGCAATTCTTCAGCAGTGAACGCCAACTCGAAATCGGAAAACTGACCGAGGACAAAACTCACACCCCACATCCGTCCGTGATATGGGAGAAAAATATGTATTAAAGAAACTCGCCTTCGGCGGATGCCCGTGCACCTTTTTATGCATTAATCCTTAATTCAGCATCGCTTCGGCTGCGCTGCAAAGGAAAATCCCCCCCCCCCCGATTCCGTCGAGGGGTTTTATGCCTCTTTTTTTGCAAACCTCGCTCGCTCGCTTTTCTCGTTCCTCCCATATTTTTATTCTCTCCCCTACCCTCACCCCCGGGCCCCTTCTCTCCAACTCACCCGCTCGTTGCAACCTCTCCATGACCGGATCCGAAAAGCCCAGGATTCTGCAAGATCGCGCAAGCCAGATCCAAAACCTCAAGCGCTGCGCGGACGCAGGACAGGAAAAAGCTCCTTTTTTTTTTTTTTTTTTGGCACTTTTCCCCACCTCTCAGATCTTTGTCTGTTTAGTCCTCTCTAGGATTTCCCGCTCGCTCCGTTTAACCCCTTCATCGTTTATGAAAGGGAGGGACGGGGCGAGACAACGCTTCTTGCAGGCAAAGTCAAGAACGGGAAGGAAAGAGGAAGCGAGGCTGTTGCAAGTGAGTATCCCCGCAGCATCTCCCTTGAGCTCAGTTCGGTAAAAAATATATATATTGAATTTCTTTGCATTCATCTCATCAGGAGATAACTGGGTGGCTTGCAATGTTAAAAGAATAAAAAAAAAGAAATGATACAACAACGTATGTACAATAAAACCCCTCCCCAAACAAACACACACATATATATAATCAGTTGTTCAATTTGTTTTCTCATTAATCTACACTCAGCACCCATAATGACAAAGTGAAAACAGAAGCTTAGAAACTTTAGAAATGTCTGTAAATGTATTGAAAACTGTATTTAAAAATTTCTATATTGCGACTTTTATATCCAAATATATTTTATTCTTTATACTCTTTCCGTTTCCCCTTAAATTTTACAATATTAACAGACTCCACAATGGTCTGAGAATCAGTGTCTCCATTAGGTAATTGACAGTCCAGCTGAAACTAAAATTAGCAAACTTCCTCAAATAGGTTACCCAGACTTAATTCACATAAACTAGGATAAGGTCTGCAAACACAATCAGAGTTAATTAAATTAGGTCTCCCAGAGGAATTGCATGTTCACAAGAACAAATATGCCTACACACACACACACAAACACACAAATGCCCCTCAAGTGTCACCCTAGGGCCTAGAATCAGTACTTCCACACCCCTGACAAATTCCCCCTATAAAAATCTCCTGCTATACCCCATTTCTCCCTACACCTTGCCCCTAAATGCAAACTGCTTTGCTTTTAGGAATAAATATTTCATCTGTCCTCACAGCTGTCTGGATCTCATTTTCATTTATTCTTGCAGAGTTGGAACCCCAAATTATTCTTCTGACAATATTTGTGTGTGTGTATGTGTGTGCGTGAAATTTATATGTGAATATATAGCTCATATATTTCAAATATATATTTCACACATATAACAGTTAGAAGAATAATTTGGGATTCGCAAGAATAAAAATAAGATCCAGACAGCTGTGAGGAAAGATGAAACTTACATTTAAAAAAACACACACTTGGTAAAAGCAAGGAAGCAGTTATTCGTAATAAAAATGCCTCAAAGCAACGCACGATCGAAGGATTCCCATTTATTCCCCCCCCCCATGCAAACACAATAGGAGGACGCGGAGGCGGAGGAGGGGGCACGTGATCAAAACAACAAAGGGACAACTGTGGGCAAAGGAAGGGCGCGCGGAGCTTCGCTGGCGGCGCGCGAGCATGCTCGGGGAGAAAGAGGTGGCGCGCGCCGCCCTCTCGTAATAAGACCCCACTTCCCCTCCCCTCCGCTTCCCTTTCTTCTCCCCGCGCTGTGTATTTGCCCAGCCCGGCCTGTCTTCGCCGCCGAATCGCCTCGGCGGAGCGCTGCCAAGGCGAATCCCCGCGAACGAGGTACGGACTTTTCTTCTTCCTCCCCTCCCAAAAAATCACTTGGCGGGAGATCGGCGCTGCTCCGGAATGCCTCGGGGGAAGCGGCTCCTCCGCCTCCAACTCTTGCCCAGTGCTCGAAACCTCTGCGCCTTCCCTGGGGGGTGAGGGGCTGGGGGGGGGGTGGAGGGGGAGAATCAGTCCCCCCCCCCTCGCCTTCCAGTGTTTAAAATTGCAAAGCAATTTTCACCTGTTCCGATGCCGACCTACAAAAAGTAGTTCGCGTTCCTCGGGGACGATTGCGAATCGGGGTTTGATTTTTTTTTTTTTTTTGGTTCTTGGTTTCTGGGGTTCGGCCCTTTTTTGCTCGTTTGCGTTCTGTTCCCCACGTGGATTTGGGCCAAAGGAAACAAAGCCCCCCCCCCCTCGAATCTGCATCCTCTGACGGTGCGTTTTCCCCTGCCTTTCCTCCCTAATCTCTGCAGGGCTTTTGGGAAATGGGTAATGTAGTCCCCGAGCAGGTATCTTTTGGCTCTAACGAGGAGTGGACTTCATATCCCATCAGCCCCCTCCTTCTCTTGCATTCCTTCTCTGTCTCCTTTGCGCTTGATGATTTGGGCTCAGAAAGGTAAATTAGCTTTTATTACTTTGATAGCAAGACCCGGGTCAGTTTCTCATGTTCTGGAATTGGCAACATCTTGTAAAATCCCAATTTGCAGGTCTGCAACAAGGCATTATAAATCATCCAGATGTTTGCCAGTTTGGTAGATTAATCTTCGATGTCCAATTAATCAAGGTAGTTGTGTGATTTGCTGTGGAATATTCTAATTTATAGAAATTTCCTTTCCCCTCCCCTAAAAATGGGCCAAAAAATGCAGGTAGTCCTTGTCTTATGACCTTAATCTGACCCCGAATTTCCATCATAAATAAAGTTGGTTGTAAGCTGAGTATCACATGACTGGACCTGATTTTATGACTCTTTTTACTGTGGTCATAAAATGCATCACTTCAGTTATGCAAATTATCTGGTCATTAAGTGAATCCAACTTTGGATGAAAATAGCTAAAAAGTTGTAAATTGTGATCTCTGGGTTGCAGGATGTTGCTGCCAGTCATAAATACAAGCTTGATGCCTAATACTTGAATTGTGATCACATGACTCACGGGGGGGAGGGGTTATAATGGCCATATCAGTACAAGTGCAAGATTTGGTTTTTAGTTTTGGAAGACTATAGTACAAGGAACTGTGATTTTGTCGAAGTGTGTTACTAGGCCAAATTTTTAGACAAATGGTCAGATACCGATACTTAACTCTATATGTTAGATTTTTTTCCCTGTAAGCTTCTGAGCAGGAAAAATGCTACTAAATACAGGTAGTTCTTGACTTACAACTGCAGTTGAAACCAACATTTCTGTTGTTAACAAGACAGTTGTTAAGTGAGCTTTGTCCCATTTTACAACTTTGCTTGCCACAGTTGATAAATAAATCACTACAGTTGTTAAATTAGTAACATGGTTGTTAAGTCAATCTGGCTTCCATATTGACTTTGCTTGTCATAATGTTACAAAGGGGGGATCATATGACCCCAGGACACTGCAATCGTCATAAATATGACCTAGTTGCCAAGTGTCAGAGTTTTGATCATGTAACCATGGGAATGCTGCAACGAGTGTAAGTATGAAAAACAGTCCTAAGTCACTTTTTCCAGAGCTGCTATAACTTCAAAAGGTCACTAAATGAACTGTTGTAAAACGAGGACTACCTGTATTCCATAGCTATTTGGGGAATTGACCCAACTGCATGTAGACTTTAAATGAATGAGGATGGAAGGCTTGCAACGTAACTACAGAGATTTCATCCTTGCTGGAATAGGAAGTTTCTTTCTCTTATTTCTGTTTATTTTGGTAGATTGCTATCTATAGCACTATCCTAAATACCAGGACTATTGCATTGCTCACTCAGTCTCTAAATGTAGATCTTTGTGCAGCCAAAATGACATCATCTGTGTACAGAAAGGAGCATCACTAAGTCTGGAAAAAACCAAGAATCTGAGGGATGGGGGGAAAAAATAAAGCCATGTGAGCTGTATTTAATAGATTAAAAGATTGAGCTCATTTCTCTATGAGAATTACAGGGGCTTTTCCTTTTACATTTATTTTAATAACTTTATACTGTAGATACTTTATATTGTATTACCAGTGCTGTATTGGTATTTCAATTGATTATATTTCACTGAAATAATTAAAAGAAAAGGTGTGCAGTGGAATTACTAAGATACTTCTGTGAGGGATGATGAGGTGATTTTTATTTATTCATATTTCACCTTTATTATTTTGATAAATAATTCAAGGTGGCAAACACGGGAATTCAGTATCTCCTAGCGGTTGGCCCAAACCCAGCCAGCTTTCATGCCTAAAGTGGGACTAGAACTCACCGTCTCCTGGCTTCTAGCCTAGTGCCTTAACCACTAGACTAGGGGTAGGCAACCTTGGCCTCTTTTATGACTCGTGGATCTCAATTCCCAGGATTCCTGAGCTAGGAATCCTGGGAGGAAATGGAGAGGTTTCCAAGCTGAGCCATGCTGGCTCACGAATTCTGGGAGTTGAAGTCCACGAGTCATAAAAGAGCCAAGGTTGCCTACCCCTGCACTAGACCAAACTGGATCTCTGATGATGATGATTTATAGCACTGCTTCCCAGATGTGGGTAAATTACTCAAAATAAAGGTGATTTTTCTTTGGGTAATGACCCAAACCCGTTCCCCATCACAATAGGGATATTCAAATTGACTTAAAGAATGCCACTGTGTTTAACTGTATTCAGAAATTTCCCAGTGCATTCCTACTGGGATAAAAAATGATGAAATAGCCAGTGGTAATCCCAAAGGTGCTTTTTCCAAAAGTGGTAATCTATTGAAATCACGTAAAGATCATTCAGTGATACTGTTTTGTAATACAGGTAGTCCTTGAATTATGATCATTCATTCAACGACCACTGAAAGTTTTGATGGTGCTGAAGGAAGGGACTTGCAGTTGGTTCTCAAAGTTTAATAAGACTGATAAGAGATTTTGGGTAAGGAAGGAAAAAGTTTGGGAAGCCTGATTTACAGCTGTCCTACTCCAAGAAACCCTAGGTGGTTTGCTATGTCCGAAATACAATTTAATCCCAGACCTGTGAACAGAGCCAACTTTTTAAAATAATAGTAGTAGTAGTAGTAGTAGTAGTAGTAGTAGTAGTAGTAGTAGTAATAAACAACTTGATAGGGACCTTGGAGGTCATCTAGTCCAACCCCCTGCTCAGGCAGGAAACCCTATACCATTTCAGACAAATGGTTGTCCCAATCTCTTCTTAAAAACTTCCAGTGTTGGAGCATTCACCGCTTCTGGAGGCAGGCTGTTCCACTGGTTAATTGTTCTAACTGTCAGGAAGTTTCTCCTTAGTTCTAGGTTGCTTCTCTTGTGAAGTAACTGCAGTTTCTGAGAATTTATTCTTCGGTAACCACGGCCTCAATCTTTTAAAGGCAAGTGGATCTCAACTTGAAACATGGTGCAAAGATTGAATGGATGGTGCCTTTTGTCTTTCAGATGCCGGTGAATTTCAAAGAAGTTGCTATGTTTTTCCCAGAGGATCAAGGACTATTGTTGGATGTAGATCAAAGGAGTCTCTATGAAAGTGGCATGCAGGAGAATGGTAGGTGATACTGCCCGCCAGGCACGCAGATGTAGCTGCAAGTGCATTAAGCACTCACACTTAATAATAATAATAATAATAAAGTTGGAAGGGACCTTGGAGGTCATCTAGTCCAACCCCCTGCTCAGGCAAGAAATCCTATACCATTTCAGACAAATGGCTGTCCAGTGTTTTCTTAATAACTTCCAGTGTTGGAGCATTCACAGCTTCTGGAGGCAGGTTGTTCCACTGGTTAATTGTTCTCACTGGCAGGAAATTTCTCCTTAGTTCTAGGTTGCTTCTCTCCTTGATTAGTTTCCATCCGTTGCTTAAACATTCCCTCCCCCCCCCCCACTGCTGGTTTGCAAAGTCAGAAAAGTTAGGGATTGCTGCTTTAGAACAGAGTTTTTCAACCTTGACTACAAGATGTGCAGACTACAACTCCCAGAATTCCCCCAGCCAGCATGAGTTGAAGTCCACATATCATCATGTGGCTGAGGAAACATTGAACTGAGAAACATTGAACTATAGCAGTGCCCCCCGACTCTTTTGGGCACCAGGGATCGTTTACATCAGTGGTTCTCAACCTTTTTAATGCCGCGCCCCCCCCCCAACCGGTCATAAGTCGAGGACTACTCAACCGGTCGTAAGTCGAGGACTACTCAACTGGTGAAGCACCGTTTGCAGAATGGGACTTTTGGCGGGCTCAGCAGGGCAGAGACAGCCTGGACAATTCCTATTGGCTTTTGAAAGCCAATAGAATTAGACTCTATTCAGAGAGTCTATTCTATTGGCTTTCAAAAGCCAATAGAATAAAAGGGAGTAGCACAGCTAAGGAAAAGGGGGAAAAAATGGCAGACTGTGTTGTTTGGCGACCCCCGTGAAATGGTCGTTCGACCCCAAATGGGGTCCCGACCCACAGGTTGAGAACCACTGGTTTACATGGAGAGAGGTTTTTCCACAGACCAGAGAGGAGAGGCGTGTAGTTTCACGTGCTCCTGCATCCCATGGATGGGGCTTCGCTTGTTTGCGTGGCTCGGTTTCTGGAACCAACGAGCCGAATTTCTGTGGAACTAAAATCCAGGATGAAAGTTAATACTGGCAGTAGGCAGAATGAAAAAACTATAATATCCAATCTTGGAAAATCGGTGTAACTCTTCTATAGAATATAAACTACGTGATAAATGTCCTGGGTAACAAGGACACATCCTGAAATATGATGATGATGATGTTATCCGTTTGGTTGTGTTCAACTCTTGGCGGTTCTATGGGCCAGGTCTCTCCACATCTTCTGATCCTGCATTGTTTCTTTGAGCTTTTCTGTGCTCTGGCTAGTGTCAGCTTCAATGATATTCCTGAAATAGCAACAGCATTTTGACTTATATACCGCTTCACACTGCTATAACGTGCAGAAATCAGTTAGCAAAAATTCATCCACCTAAAGCAGTGGTGGCGAACCTATGGCACGCATGCCAGAGGCGGTACTCAGAGCCCTCTCTGTGGGCATGCGCACCATGCCTCAGAGATGGCAACGTCCCTTTTCAACCAGCCGCCCACTAACTCCCCGAGGTCCCACATGGCCGGATACATCCCAGCACGGCTGGTTTCTCTCTCCCTGTCCCATCCCTCCCGGCCTTGCATGCTTTCCTTTTCCCGGGCACGACCCACTGAATCGCCTCCTCAGCTGTCGGCCATCCATCCAGCTCAGAGGCGGCTTCTCTGAACTGCTGGCGGTGGGCTGCGGAGCCCCAGAATGTGCCAGTTGAGGGGCTGGCAGGCTGTGGCTGCTGACGGACACCATCAGCCCCCATGCACTCACTGGCCTCTGTATGCAGGGGCCGATGGTGTGAGGCAGCAGCTGCCCCGGCCCCTGCCTCGCCTTGCCACGCGGCAATGGCACACTTGCCCTGCCTCGCCTCGCCTCACCCTGCAGGACAAGCCCACCTTGGCCACACCCTCTCAGTCTGCCATGACCACCACAGCCACGCCCACCCAGTGGGCCACGCCCAGTGGCACCCGGTGATAAATAAGTGGGTTTTGGGTTGCAGTTTGGGCACTTGGTCTCTAAAAGGTTCTCCATCACCGACCTAAAGGATTTTCTTTTCCAGCCCACTGAGATCATGTTCATATACTAGTACTTGTTTGTTTGTTTTTGTCTAACAGGTGATGGACAGATACATGAGAAGGAAGATGTTCTAGGGAAAAACTATGAACAGAATCAACAAGCCGGGGCATCCTCAAACGCGCCCAGCGAAGTGGTTTCCTTGTGTTTTCAGGAAGGAGAGCCACCCGTGAAACACCTCAACCCAGAGAGGCAGCGGCAATACCATTTAGCAAAGAGAAAGGATAGCTCTGCAGCTTATACCCAGATCCCCCAGACTCCAGGCCAAGGTGCAGCTGGGAAGACCAGGCGCAGATCCAAGATCCCAAGAACCTGTAACGAATGTGGGAAGACCTTCGCTCAGGCCTCCAACCTCTTGGCCCATAAACGGATCCACACGGGCGAGAAGCCCTATAAATGCATCCACTGCGGGAAAAGCTTCACCGAAAGGTCGAATCGTAACCGGCATCAGAAGACCCATTCAGGAGAAAAGCCCTTCAAGTGCCTTGACTGCGGAAAGAGCTTCAGCTTCAGGTCTGACCTCATCCGACATGGGATCACCCACACGGGAGAGAGGCCGTACAAATGCTCGGACTGTGGGAAAAGCTTCAGCCATGCCTCGACCCTCATTCGGCATGAGAACATCCACACGGGGGAGAAACCCTACTCCTGTGCAGATTGCGGGAAATGCTTCACTCAGAGCTCATCCCTTCTGGCGCATAAACGACTGCACACCGGAGAGACGCCGTTCATCTGCCCCGTTTGTGGAGAAAGCTTCAACTGGAAGTCACATCTGGTGACGCACAAGCGAACGCACACTGGGGAAAGGCCGTATAAGTGCGCCAAGTGTGAGAAAAGCTTCATTGAGAAATCCAAACTGAACAGGCATCAGAGGACCCACACGGAGAAGGAACTGTATGAATGTGGGGAGTGCGGGAGAATCTTTAGCATCCGATCCAACCTGGTTAGGCACGAGACTACTCACCGAGGGGCGAAATCCTACAGCTGTTTGAACTGTGGGAAAAATTTCAACCAGTCATCAAAGCTGATGCGGCATGAAAGGATCCATACAGGAGAGAAGCCCTACTCCTGTTCAGGCTGTGGGAAAAGTTTCAGCCAGACCTCCGAACTCCTGCGCCACGAAAGGATCCACACCGGAGAGAAGCCGTACAAATGTTTGGTGTGCGGGAAGTGCTTCTATCGCAAATCACACCTCAGCACTCACGAGGCAACCCACTTAGCCGACCTGCCATGTGGAGGACTACAAAGCAGAGCAATCTATGATAGCAGCTCACTCTTTATTGCAGGGCTGAGTCCCCACCAGCAGACTCAAGCAGACAGCCAGGCATACCTGGACGCGGAAAGTGAACAAGATTACAGCCATAGTTCAATCTTTATCGCAGGGCTGAACCCCAGCAGGCCCACACACATAGGTGACCGGCTGTATGAATGGCCCAACAGTGAAACAAGCTATGGCTGTTGTTCACTCCTAATCACTGGAGTGAATCCACAGGAAGGCATCCAGGCAGAGGAACCCCTGTTTCAGTGTCTGGACAGAGAGACCAGCTATACTCGCAGCCCATTGTTTAAAAGCATCATGAATGCACGCCAGGTGGTCCTTTCAGGAAGCCGACCGATTGCCTGCCTGGACCGTGAGAAAAATTACAGTGACCCCTTGCTTTTTCAGAAGGAGGAGAAACTGTTTAAATGTCTCGAATGTGGAAAGAGCTTCAACTGGCAGTCTCATTTCACTCGGCACAAAAGAATTCACACGGGAGAAAAACCGTACTGTTGCACGGACTGTGGGAAAAGTTTCAACCGCAGGTCACACCTCATTCGACATGGGCGGACCCACAACGGACTGAGCCTCTACTCTCAGACTGTTGAAGAGTCCTCAGTTCAGGACCTCGTTTTCTTAAACCCAAGTGAATCAATGCAGGAGAGGACTTTGATTAACACACAGAGTTTCGGGTCTTCCTTTATGGCTCAAACGAGGCTACAGCCTGGAAACCTCACAATCCTGTCTGCTGAAACCACTCAGGAACAAATCTTGTGAAGGTACAATAATTAAAGAACTCGTCCCAGGGAAATGCCATGTATTGGGCAACTTCGTAGTAGAAGATCAGTTCTCACTAGGCCACGGGTAGGCAACCTTGGCTCTTTTATGACTCGTGGACTTCGACTCCCAGAATTCCTGAGCCAGCCATGCTGAGGGGAAAGGGAGAGGTTTCTAAGCTGAGCCATGCTGGCTCAGGAATTCTGGGAGTTGAAGTCCACGAGTCATAAAAGAGCCAAGGTTGCCTACCCCTGCACTAGGCCCAAATACCTGTGCAAGGGAACATGGCCTTAGCTCTTACGAATAGTAGATGTGGTAAAACTGTTCCTAGCAGAAGGGGGTCACGTGGATGTTCTTCCATAAAATAATTCCAGGTCTCCATGCTCACTGAAAAGTAGCATGTCAATGAGCTAAATTAGCAGTCTCCCGGAGGTGGTGCTTCTATACACTTAAGGGGTTGGTTTTTTTTCATGGATATACAATCCCTGGCTTCCGATCTCTCATTCATGTTCACAATAAGGCTATTAAAATTTTCAATCCAAAGCCAAACCATATGGGAGAATTCGTGCCAAGAATGTTTTCTCTTTTCACACCTTTGCAAATTCTTCCAGTAGAGCTGAGAGGGGGGGAAACTTGGCCTCTCCAGTTGCTGCTTTATTTTCACTTATCATTCACCTCAGGCAGTGAATGTCAAGGATGATGGGGATTAGAGTCCAGCAGGATCTGGAGTGGTACAAGTGCTCAGTCTCAACTGTTAGTGAAATGGCTGGACCACTCAAGATGATAATGGGTTGTAGAGCTGAATTACAGCCCTCAATATTAGAAAACTTCCATTAAATTAAAAAAAACCTCCCTCCCTCAATTGTGTTTTGTGTTTAGAGAGGCAAGTTCCAATTAGGCTAGCAACAATGTTTTTCCGCTTTCTGAAAACTAGATCTTAAAGCCATTTCCACGTATCTGTATAGATAGCAAAGGTAGTCTAAAAGAAATTGCATGAATAGGTAAATTTAGATGGTAACATATTAGAATGACAGTGCAAGCAGCCTTCGACTTATGACTCTAATTGAACCCAGAAGTAAATCAGTTTTTAAGTCGTCACCTGACTTTACAACCGTTTTTGCTGCGGTTGTTAGACGAAAGCTGCTGTTGTAAAGTGAATCCGTTGTCTGCAATGGATGTTTTTTTTTTGCTGGAAACCAGAAGTAAAAGCCGGTTTCTGACAACAACAAAAAGGGGGGGGGGGTAGTCATTTGACCTCTAGGACCCTGCAAACAATCATAATTGTGAGCTGGTTGACGAATGCCCAAAATGGGATCGTGTTACTTGGTGGTGATTTGTCGGAACTTTGAATCTGGATCATAAGTAGTCTTAGGAGGGTCCATCAGAACTTTGGTTGCTAAGCAACCAGTCATAAATTGAGGAATACCTGTAGCCATAGTACCGGTAGTCCTCGACTTACAGTTGAGCCCAGAATTTATGTGAGAAATTTGTTAAGCGAGTTTTGCCCCCATTTTATGTTGTCACATTTGTTAAGTAAATTACAACAGTTGTTAAATTAGTAGCACGGTTGTCAAGTGACTCTGGCTTCCCCATTGACTTTGCGTGTCAGAAGGTCACAAAAGATGCTCACATGACCCCGGGGAACTGCAACTGTCATAAATATGAACCAGTTGCCAAGCATCCGAATGTAAATCACATGACCATGGGAATGCTGCAGTGGTCATAAGTGTGAAAAATGCTCATAAGTCATTTCTTTCTGGGCTGTTGTAACTTCAAATGGTTACTGAATGAACTGTGGTAAGTCGAGGACTACCTGTATATGCCAGGAAAACATGGGATCTCTACTTGCAAGGAAACTTATTTATAGCAGACCGAATGAAAAATGGAAAGCAAGAACCCTCTTCCTAGAGGGAGATGAGGGAAAATTAGGACTGGATTTGAAGAAGGATGAGCCAAAAATTCTGGAACAACCTTTGCAGCAGTTTGCAACGGCTACTTTTTGAATTAAAATAAAGATGTTAAATGAATTCTTGACCCAAAACACTTTTTCCCTGGGTCCATATCACAGCTCTTCAAGAAAATCAGGATGTATTGTTGTATTTCTTTCTTGCACATTAACTCCATCTTTTGGTATTTCACTTTTCTCCCTAATTTTCTTTCAGATTTTACTCAAAAGATGGCACCTTGTGAGATGCCAAGAGCAGTTTAGGCACAACCAATGTTGTGTAGATTTTGTGGGCTGGTCAGTAATAGACGACATTGTTTTTTAGTTTTGTGGTTTTCCCCTCTCGTTGATAATGTTATTAAACTTCTTTCAGATCGATTGCACTGAAAATTGGTTCTGTGTATTATTCCAATAATTCTAAGTGGTGTTGGCTGTGGGTGATGGGAATTGTACTCCTGCAAATTCAAACTGGGGGAACTTTCTTGACATGTGCAGTGGTATTTGCATATATTGGTTATCCATTTGTTCATTTATTCGATTTCTTTAGCCACCCATCTAAGCAAACTCGTATATCAAACTAAGCCATAGTTTGTTGAACCATGGTATATGGGGTGGACTACAGTTGTCAAGATGCTGCCCTAATGAAAATGAAAACCTTGGGAATCCAAGAAGACCAGTGATGACAAAGCCCCGCAAAAGTTCATATTGTGGGAAAAACACAAATTGCAGATTGCAGCTGATTATAACAATAACAGAGTTGGAAGGGACCTTGCTCAGACAGGAAGCCCTATAGCATTTCAGACAAATGGCTGTCCAGTCTCTTCTTAAAAACTTCCAGTGTTGGAGCATTCACTGCTTCTGGAGGCAAGTTGTTCCACTGATTAATTATTCTAATTGTCAGGAAATTTCTCCTTCTAGGTTGCTTCTCTCCTTGATTAGTTTCCATCCATTGCTTCTTGTCCTGCTTTCAGGTGCTTTGGAGAATAGATTGCCACACACACCTTGTTCTTTGTGGCAGCCCTTTAAATATTGGAACATTGCTATGTATGAGAGGATCCACACTAGAGAAAAACAATACAGATGCTCCGAATGTGGTAAAAGGTTTTGTCAAAACAGTTCCCTAGTGGTTCACCGAAGGATCCACACCAGAGAAAAGCTGTACAAATGCAATATATAACAAATATAGTAATATATATTATATAATACATAACAAATGAATCCAATAAAATTAACCAATCCTCTTGAATATGGATGGTGTCATATCATTTACGTAAACCTCCATACTGCAGTTACCACTTTTCTGTTAACATATGAATTATCTCCATATTTCTACAGTTAACTGAAGATAGATTAAAAATATACCCTGCATTCTATGATGTGCTCCATTCTTGGGATTAAAGAAACAAAAAGCTGCTTTAATGGGCTTTTTTCTTTTTGTTAAGGAGAACATTCTATGGTTTGCTCTCTTTTTATGTTTTCCCTTTAAAGTCAAATTTTGCAACAGTAGAGTTTCAGAGTGGTAAGCAAGTTTTTGCATTTCACACAAAGAACACGGCAACTTACACCCTTTGTATGCAGACACATAATAGCACACTTTTTAAAACCCTTTAAATTGGGTGTCAAACTGACGACCCATGGGCCGGATGCGTATGCCGAAACCACGCCCACCTCAGTTCTGGCAATAGGAAAAAGTCACGATATGTCACAGCACGTCATGTGACATTGTGAGTTTGACACCCCTGCTTTAAATATTTCTTTCTAAAGTTTTACCAGTTTCTTTATCACATATAGTCACCCTCTCTTTTTAAGGGTGAATTTTCTAGGCCCTACTGTGTATGTGTGTCTCTTGCTTTGACCCAATGGAGATATCTGTGCAAGCAAAGTTACAGTAACGTGGCATTTATCATTTAGCAGATTTAAAATCTCCTTCACAAACAAAGCTGGCTTGTTGGGAACAGCAGATTCAAGACACACTGTGTACTTGGATACAACTCTATAGTCACTGCAAGTGAAACTATCTCCCTTGGAGCCTCTGCCCTGCTGGTGCTTCCATGTCCTAAATCCTTGGGAGCCATAGAAAATCAGTCATAAAATTTTAGGAGGTAGAGAGGTTTGATTTTTGTTAAGACCCAATTCCTAAAATGTAGGAATCTTTAAATTAATTCAAATTAGTGCCCTCCAAGCTGTCCGGGCATAATAGAGCTGTAACCTAGCTCCTCTAGAGATGGAAGGCTGCTGAGAGCAATTTTGCCCTCTGGTGAGATTTAGACTTCCCAATAATACAGACAGGAAGATCAGATATATTTCTGCTACCCTAGACGTGATTTGATGGTTGCTTCCAGGTTTGTCCCACGTCTTGTTATTCTATTTAATAAGATGAGGCTGGCCATCATTTAGGAGCTGTGCACAAAAACAAGACTTTCACGAACTTTTAGCATTCAGCACCTGGCTAATCTTGTGCAGCTAAGATGGATCTAGCTATACTGTTCAAGCTTCTCTCAGTTGCAGATACGTTTTTTGAGGCGTTATCCTGCAACCCCAAGACAAACCATTAAACAACAGTCTTCCTTGACTCCCCAAGGGAGGTGAGGTTTGTTGTGCCCTTTTTGCACAATGTTCCCCATCTGCCCCAATAATGCTTTCCCTTGGTTAGTTCTCGCTTCTTGCATACAAAGTTTCTAGCTCAGTAATATTTATTTATGAAACACACGCGCCAAGAAAGGCGTCAACACAGAAGGGTGTTGAAACCATTGAGTATTGAATTGCTAGAGAGGACAAAGAGGAGACGAGAAGGTAAGAGAAACTTCCTCTTTCGGCTCACCCATGGGGGGGGGGGGTTATAGTGATGGTTCTCGAGTCCTTCCCAGGATCCAAGCAGCAGCTGGATGGTAAGTTCAGGACAGATTGGAGGAGACATCGGGAGCAAGTAGGTTTCCTGTACGGTATAATAGCAGAAAAGCAACTAGGTTGAAATATATTGGCTGCTCCTTATTCCTTCCCTCCCCAAATTTTATTCCAGTGGTGCTGCACGCTTTAAAAGTGGTGCCTGCAAATTTCTGCTAGTTGGAAGATTTAAATGTCTCGTTCACTTTAGAGTTGACTCCTTGTGTTTTTTTATGATCGTGTTCTTTTCTTGGCAAGTGAGGAGTTTCATAGGCAAAACAATTTTAAGGCATGTGGACTTCAACTCCCAGAATTCCACAGCCAGCATTGCTGGCTGTGGAATTCTGGGAGTTGAAGTCCACATGCCTTAAAATTGTCAAGGTTGAGAAACACTGCTTTAAATTAAGCCGAAAAGTTTGAACGTACCCATTTCTGGGACATTTTTCTGGATGAAATACAAATATATTTTCTACATACTATTATCTATCTATCCATCCACACACACACAATATATCTGTATTTCCTTTGTGCCAGATCTATTTGAAAATAATTTATAATGCTAAGAATTTGTGATTTATTGTGATTTATTCAAGTCCACAAGAGAATGTCATGATTGTGTGGATATTTGAAATTAGATCTAGCTAGTCTTCTATATGACAAATGAATCATAATTGATGTTTATGGTTAATCTAGCATTTTCACATGATTTTTTTCATGCTTTTCTTGTTTTCACATTTTATATCCAATCATTAAACTAAGCCTTTTCTGTGACTATTATAGACAAAAGAGGATGCCAAGAAAAGTGCCAAGAAGATGCCAAGAGAGATCAAAAGCAGAACTAAAAAGGAATCAATCCTGCAATTAAAATCCTTCCAACATGTCCAGAAAACAACAAAACATTTCTGTACCTGATGGACAAGGGAGATAGTAACTGAAAAGAGTATTATCCCTGAAAAAAATTGAGTATGTGAAACTCAGTGAAACACTCCACAAAAAAATCAAAGGCAAAGGTCATTTGCAAATTCAGAAAAGATGGAAGCACTTGGAAATCAATGGAGAAGACACTTGGATAACCGGGTGTGGCAAGCAGTCATGCAAGACTCGCTCTGTGAAGAAAGAAAGAGTAGCTTGAATGAAAACATCATCCAAGAAGGGATCCAAAATATTTTTGACCTCCTCAATAAACCAAGAATATCGGTTGTGGAAATGCCCCATGAATCTACGTGTTGTGAGGATAGTATGGGTTGCAGATCGCAACTGATTGTCCATGAAAAGATCAACATCAGACAGAAGCCAAATAAATTTTCTGAGTGTGGGAAATTGTTTTGCAACAGCCCACAGCCATTTAAGGAGAAAATGACGTACACTGGAGAGAATACGTACAAATACTCACAATGTGACAGCAGCTTTTGCAAGGACACCACCCTAGCGATACACCGGAGGACTAACACAGAGGAGAAACAGTATACATGTCTGGATTGTGGGAAATGTTTCGGTCAGAATTCCAACCTGTTGATACACCAAAGGACTCACACAGGGGAGAAACCATATGAGTGTCCTGATTGTGGAAAACGTTTTGGCCGGAATTCCTATCTATTGGTACACCAAAGGACACATACAGGGGAGAAACCATATGAGTGTCCAGATTGTGGGAAAAGTTTCAATCAGAATTCTCACCTGGTGATACATCAAAGAATTCACACTGGGGAGAAACCCTATGAATGTCTATATTGTGGGAAAACTTTCAGTCGGAATTCCCACCTGGTGATACACCAGAGGACTCACACAGGAGAGAAACCGTATGAGTGTTGGGATTGTGGAAAAAGTTTCAACCAGAATGCTAATTTGATTGTACATGAGAGGACTCATACAGGAGAGAAACCATATGAATGTCAGGATTGTGGTAAAAGTTTCAGTAGAAATTCTCACCTTGTGATACACCAGATGATTCACACAGGAGAAAAACCATACAAGTGTCTGGATTGTGGGAAAGGTTTCAGCTGGAATTCCCACCTAGTAGTACATCAAAGAATACACACTGGTGAGAAACCATATGGCTGTCCTGTTTGTGAGAAAAGTTTCAATCAGAAATCTGATCTGATGCTGCACCAGAGGACTCACAGTGGGGAGAAACCATATAAATGTCCTATTTGTGGGAAAGCTTTCAATTGGAATTTCCACCTGGTGACACATCAGAGCACACACACTGGAGTGAAACCGTATGAATGTCTAGAATGCAGGAAAACGTTTAGTCGGAATTCTGAGCTGATGATACACCAGAGAACTCACACAGGGGAGAAACCGTATGAGTGTCTGGAATGTGGGAAAAGTTTCAGTCAGAATTCCCACCTGATGACACACCATAGAACTCACACAGGAGAGAAACCATATGAGTGTCCAGAGTGTGGGAAAGGTTTCAGTATTAGGTCTAACCTTATAAATCATGTAGGTTTACACACAGGGGAGAAACCTTTCAAATGCTCAGAGTGTGGACAGTGCTTCCCATATTATTCCTGCCTTGCTGCACACAAAAAAATCCACAGAAAGTGATGAGTGTAGAAAAGGCTTGAATTTAATTTCTGATTTTTCATTACATTAAGTACAGGTAGTCCTTTACTTACGACCACAACTGGACCCAAAATTTCTGTTGCTAAGCGAGACATTGGTTAAGTGATGTTTGCCCCATTTTATGACCTTTCTTGCCACAGTTGTTAAGTGAATCGCTGCAGTTAAGTTAGTAAGAGTGTTGCTAAGTGAATCTGGATTGTACATTGAGTTTGCTTGTTTAAAGGTCACAAAAGCTAATCACATGACCCCGGGACACTGCAACCATCATAAATATGAACCAGTTGCCAAGCATCTGACTGGATCATGTGACCACGGGGATGCTGCAACAATCGTGTGAAAAATGGTCATAAGTCACTTTTTTCAGTGCTGTTTGAATGGTCACTAAATGAACTGTTGTAAGTCAAGGACTACCTATAAAGGAGGGAGTTTGTAGCAGTAAAATAATCATTGTAAATTTTCACATGTAAAGGCTATTGAATGTGATGTGTTGGAAAATTTTAGAGAAAGGAGTTCTGGTTTTCAGAGTAGGATATTCAAGTTTACGTTCAACTCCTGCTGTGATCTCCTTTGCTTGGAGGTTGCCTCTTAGCCTTTGACAGCTGTTGCGTGATACACAGCCAATTTTGTAACAGATTTGTGGTGGGCAATGGTGGAGATCTGAGAAAAATAATTGTAGGGTGATAAAAGTTTCGTTTATAGAAATGCATTGTGTAAGAACCACGAACAACTTTTGACAAGGAATATGAGCCGTGTCTGCATTGCTGTGAAAATTGGGGAAAGGGAATGCAAAGCTTTCCTCCCAACACCCCGGGAGATTTCTCCAATTCTTTTATTCCACTCTCGGCTTATTTTCAATAAAGTAGCACTTTACACAATTTGTCAGATGATGGATGACCTGTGCCATAAACTAGTCTTAATGAGCATCCAGCTTATCATACTAGGCCAGTGGTAGGCAACCTTGGCTCTTTTATGACTCCCAGAATTCATGAGCCAGCCATGCTGAGGGGAAAGGGAGAGGTTTCCACGCTGAGCCATGCTGGCTCAGGAATTCTGGGAGTTGAAGTCCACGAGTCATAAAAGAGCCAAGGTTGCCTACCCCTGGCCTAAGGGCTATTCTAAGTGTTATTTATATAGTCTAGGGCAGGTGTAGGCCATCTTAGCTCTTTTATGACTCCTGGACTTCAATACCCAGAATTCCTGAGCCAGCCATGCTGAGGGGAAAGGGAGAGGTTTCCACGCTGAGCCATGCTGGCTCAGGAATTCTGAGAGTTGAAGTCCACGACTCATGAAGGGGCCAAAGTTTCCCCCATGCTGGCTCAGGAATTCTGGGAGTTGAAGTTCATGAGTCATAAAAGAGCCAAGGTTGCCTACCCTTGTACTAGGCTTTGGTCACTGACAGGTTTAATCTGCCACATACTAACCTTTATGCTCCCTAAACCCATCTCGTGTTCCTATCCCTCCTTTTAGATTCCATTTAGACATCTGCTTTTATATATTTCTTTTGGCTGTTTATAATAATCACTATTCTTAGACTTTGTTTTATGTGCTTTGCAACTAAATGTAACCCCACAATCCTTATGATGGTCTTTCACCGTAATAAAGATTTGATTTGATTTTGTCAGGTTATATATAATACTTTTTTTTTCCCTAGTGGGTCACATTGCATATGAATTCTTTGCAGAAAGACACCCAACAATCAGGACTAGGCCAAGGGTGAGGAGGAACTGGGAGGCTCTTTAAGCTCCAGGCGGTTTCAAACATTTTCTCTTTCTTTGTTAAGGAGCCATTCTACATTTTCCTCTTTTTTATTCCCCTTTCCCTGCTTAAAATCATATTTTACAACATTAGAGTTTCAGAGTTGTGAGCTACCCTGCACATTTATTAGAGATCCTGAGGGCGGGGCGCCTCTCCCAAAGTTTGTTTTTGTTACACTCTAAAGTATAAATGGCAGGGACTCTCAATGCCAACTCAGTTAGAAGGCGAGCCGTGTAAAGACGGAGTCAAGCTATTCTCCAAAGCGCCTGAAGGCAGGACAAGAAGCCACGGATGGAAACTAATCAAAGAGAGAAGCAACCTAGAACTAAGGAGAAACTTCCTGACAGTTAGAACAATTAACCAGTGGAACAACCTGCCTCCAGAAGTGGTGAATGCTCCAACACCGGGAGTTTTTAAGAAGAAACTGAACAGCCATTTGTCCGAAATGGTATAGGGTTTCCTGCCTAAGCAGGGGGTTGGACTAGATGACCTCCAAGGTTCCTTCCAACTTTATTATTATTATTTTGGATCATCGCACAGTCAGCCAGATGTTCAGACTGGATTTGGCATTTTGTCTACCTATCGAGTCCTTATCCAGGACCTGGGATAGGCAGATGTGGATGTTTGATGGTATTACAGATATCGTTGCAGGATGGAAGCAGTTGTTGTTGTTATTATTATTATTATTATTATTATTTTGGATGGAACCTTTGTAGGGTAGGCAAGGTGGATGGTATGACGTGTGTGAGTTCTGGCACTTTTTTTTTTTTTTTTTTACAAAAAAAGCACTGCTGAAATCTAACTCCTTTGGAAACTGGGAAGGCTGCTGGGAGCAATTCTCCCCTCTAGTAAAATTCAGGCTACTCAATAATACAGACAGGATGATCACATGTATCTCCTATCTAGATGTGCTTCAGACAGAATGCTGGTGGACATTTCCAGGTTTGTTGCATGTCTGATTATTAATAGGATGAAGTTGGCAATCATTTAGGGGCTTCACACACAAACAAGTCGTTCATGAACTTTTCAGGGTCAGCTGACCCCGGCTAATCTTGTGAAGCTAAATAGGGACAAGCTTCATTCTTCAAGTATCCCTCAGTAGGTTTTGAGAGGTTGCACCCCCCAAAAATCAATAAATGGCTAGAACAATCTTCACTAATCCCCAAGAGAGATGTATTTTTTTCTCTGCCTGTTTGCACATAATTTTGCCCCTCAAGGATGCTTTCCCTTGGCTTAGTGCCCGCTTTTGGCAAAATAGCCGCTGTTTCAGTGGCAATGGCCATATGAATAATCCCTGGGAGACTCAAAAGAACCGGTTAGGGATCGATCATTGGTAGTTGATTTGAAGGCACATAATGAATCAAAATATTTCGCAAGTGTGTGTGTGTGTGTGTGTGTGTGTGTGTGTGTGTGTGTGTGTGTGTAGTGGGGTAGATTTGTAGCTTACATGCTAACAGTCTTGTTTTCCCATCAGAAATGTTCAATAAATTCCATAAATCCCACTTCTACAATTGATGTCAAAATGAATTATAGTAAATTCTGCAGGCTTTGAATATTTCTTATGCAAGTGGTCCTCACTGAACAATTGCCTGCTTAATGACTGTTTGAAATTAGAATGGCATTGGAAAAAAAATAACTTCGTGGCCTGTCTTTAAACTTTACAACTATTGCAAATGTCCTTGCGATCATGCAATTGAGGTTCACAGGCGCTTCAGAATTGGCAGGCATTTACCACAATTGCAGTGTCCCGCAGAGATGCGATTGCCAGTTGCGCACTTCACGGCGAGTTTGCAACAGAGTCGATGAAAAAGCCAGCGGTAAAATTGCAAACTGCAGTCGTGGTAATATACTGCTCAAAAAAAATAAGGGGAACCCAAAAATAAGACATCCTATAAGTTTGTGTTCCCTTTATTTTTTTTGAGCAGTATATTTCATTTAGCAACTGCAAGGAATTCGCTTAGCAACTGCAACAGGTTATGAAGTCGTTAAGATCGGACAGGCGTGTTTTTTTCAGCCTCATGTCGCTGGATGGCGCTCTAAAGATCAGCAATACCGGCGCCTAGAAAGCCGCCGATATAAGCGGCGGCTTCTTAGGAAGAGCATTAAAGTATTGGATTGCTAGAGAGGATTTGGAGAAGGGCAGGGGAATTTCCTCTTCCGGTTCCCTCCCCTAAGAGGATGGTGTCGTAGAGGGCTGTTCTCGTGCTGTTCCCGGGGTCCAAGCAGCCGCTGGAAGGTGAGTTGTGGGCAGGTCGGAGGAGAACCCGGGAGCAAGTAGTGGGGCTGCTCGGTTTCCTCCGCGGGGTGGAAGCAGCGAAGCAACGAGGCTGAAACATTCTCAGCTTCTACATATTCATGCCCTCCCCAAATTTTGTTCCAGGGGTGCTGCATGATTTAAAAGTTGTTGTTGTTCAGTTGCTAACTCGTGTCTGACTCCTCGCGACTCCATGGACTCCATAGCATGCCCTACCCTGTCTCCCGGAGTCTGCCCAAATTCATGTTCAATGCATCGAAGGCACTGTCTAACTATCTCATCCTCTCCCGTCCGCTTTTCCTTTTGCCTTCCATCTTTCCCATCATCGGGGTCTTTTCCGAGGAGTCCTCTCTCCTCGTTAGGTGGCCAAAGTATTTGAGCTTCAGCTTCAATATCTGTCCTTCCAAAGGACAGTCAGGGTTGATTTCCTTTAGGATCGACTGATCCGATCTCCTTGCAGTTCTAGGGAGACTCAAGAATCTTCTCCAGCACCACGATGTGAAAGCATCAATTCTTCAACACTCAGCCTTCCTTATGGCATTTTAAAATTGCTACCTTCAACTTTCTGCTGGTTGGGAGATTTAAATTTCTGCTTTACCTTGTGTTTTTTTTTTTTTTAAATCAGTGTGTTATTTTCATGGGCAAAACTGGTGCTTTAAATCTTGCAGAGGCTTTGGATACCATTTCTTCTGTTAAAGGCCCACCCCAATTAGACCCACAGTTGGGACATATGTCAGGTTGAAACGCACATAGATTTTTGACCTGCATTCATTTATAGGTGTATCCAATTGAAACCATGCATTCATTTATAGGTGTATCCACATTTCTCTTTATTTTCTGAGGTTTTCGCGGGTGTTTGTACGTAGGTCTTTGGTTATTCGGTTTTCTCCCACGTAAAATTGGAAGTGTCTTGGCGACGTTTCCACGAAGTCTCATTCGTCATCTTCAGGCTGGTGCTTTCGGCTTCGTGCTTCTAGGAACAAAGGAGCATTTCTCTTTATGTGAATATATTTGTATTTGTGTAACCTTTGCTCAGCATTTCCAGTTTGATTTCATAATAACAATTTTTAATGTAAGAATTTGTGATTTACTGAAGTTCAAAAGAGAATTTCATGATT